CCCTCCTCGGCCCCGCCGACGCGCTGACGTCAGCATCCGACGTGGCGGCGTTGAAGGCCTTCAAAGCCGGCGTGAACCCTCGCTCGATCCCGCCGTGGTCGTGCCTCGCCACGTGGGACTTCGCCGCCGCCGACCCATGCGCCTCTCCACGTCGTACGCACTTCACGTGCGGCGTCACGTGCTCTCCCGACTCGACCCGAGTCACTCAACTCACCCTCGACCCGGCCGGGTACTCGGGGCGGGTCACTCCGCTCGTCTCCGGGCTCACTCACCTCCTCACCCTCGATCTCGCCGAGAACAGCTTCTTCGGCCAAATCCCACCGTCGATTTCCTCCCTCGTTAACCTCCAATTCCTCAACCTCCGCTCCAACTCGCTTTCCGGGTCATTACCCGAATCGATCACTCGGCTCAACTCGCTCGAGTCCATCGACATATCCCACAACTCGCTCACTGGGTCGTTGCCGAAATCCATGGGTTCCATGCCGAATCTCAGACGTCTCGATCTGAGTTACAACAAGCTCACAGGGTCGATCCCTAAGCTGCCGAAGAATCTCATCGAACTCGCTCTGAAGGCGAATTCGCTATCTGGGTCGGTCCCGAAAGACTCGTTCACCGACTCGACTCAGCTGGAAGTCGTCGAAATCGCCGAGAACTCGTTTACCGGCGTGCTCGGCGCCTGGTTCTTCCTCCTTCCGTCTATCCAACAAGCCGATCTGGCGAACAACAGCCTCACCGGCGTCGAAGTCTCTCCGCCATCTCCCGCAGGAAGCAGCGGCGACCTCGTGGCCGTGGAGCTAGGGTTCAACGCGATTGAGGGTCACGCGCCGGCGAACTTCGCGGCGTATCCGAGGTTGTCTTCGCTGTCGCTGAGGCACAACAGGCTACGAGGAGGGATCCCGGCGGAGTACGGACAGAGTAAGACGCTGAGGAGGTTGTACCTGGACGGGAACTTCCTCACCGGGAAACCGCCGGCGGGGTTTATCCGACCGGACTCGCCGGTGTACGGTAGTTTCGGGGATAATTGTCTGCAGGGATGTCCAGGGAATTCCAAGATGTGCGCTCCATCGCAGAAGCCATTTTCCATTTGCAAGCAAGCTTATGGTGGGAAACCAAGATCCTGAGTTTTGTCAGAGATTTTTCTTCGTCCTGAAGTGTGTCAGAGATTTGTAAAAAAATATTATTATTATCATTTTTATTTTTTTGTTTCAAAGAATTCAGTTATTTGGACTGCAAACTAGGATAAATTTTTAATAAATAAAATTTAAAAAATGTTTGCTTCATTTCAATGTGAAAATTATTTGTATAATGGAGCATTGTGTTTTGACAGGAAAAGTCTTTGTGTTTTGGTCCCATCGATTTATAAAAATAAAAAAGACGACAAAAAATGGGAACCGACGCTTCGCTCCTTCTCATGCTTTTGCATAGACCGACATCTAATAAATTTTTCATATTTTTTGGTCTTTAATAGAAATTTTCATATCAATTTAATATTTATGTTTTGGTTTTAATTTGATTTTTTTTTTTATTTTTTACATTTGACAACTAATTTTATTTTAAAAAATTTACCAAATAAAAATTTAAATTAAATTCGATGAAAAAATTATTTATCTATATTCATTTTTACAAGTCCAAATCAATAATCATAACTATTTTTTATGAAAAAAAATTTAAGGCTTTGAATGGGGATGAATTTTATTATGGGTTTTTAGTTTTTGAATTTTAATTTTTAGTTTTTGGTTTTTGGCTTTTGGATTCTATAATATTTGAAAACTAAAAAATAATAGTTTTTGATTTTTCTTTGATTTTTTCACTAAAATAACTTTTCAAGTTTTTAAGAAAAGTAATTTTGTGAAAACTTGAATGATATTTTTTTTGGTTTTTGGATTCTAAAAACTCTAAAAACTTCAACCATTCAAAGTCTAAGACAATTCGATATATAACATAAAGCATATTCACTATTATAATTTTTTAAAAAATAAATTTGGACATATGGTTTGAAATGATTATGCCTATGTCGACAACCATCGTGATCAATATCCACCTACAATTTGTTGGAATAGTATCCTGTTATCATATGTTTGATTTAGTACCCTTTTGAACCAAACTTATTTTTATTTTTTAATAAAATCTTTGGTCTAAATGTCATTACCAATATTGAATATTATTTATTTATTATTATTATTATTATTATTATTATTATTAGGATGTTTCATGGGCATTGGGCAACGCCAACATGTTCGGTTTATCACAATTACTAAGTGTTTTTTTGTGTGTGTAGATGTTCTGGATTGAATTTCTTTAATAATACAGAAATAATTTCGATCATTTTTTAGATATTTCTATAAATAATAAATATATGAATTGTGGATTTGTCTTATGTTACCTATTTTATAACATAAAAATATCATCTAATATCCAAATATTCCCTTGACCCTTGACTATCATGAGATTCTCTAGCCGTGTCATATTTTTTATACTCTTCTTCACTTATTTTAAGTAATTATGGACCACTGCCTCATATTTCAAATATATTTATAAAAATTTATAACAATAAAAGTTATATAACATAATAATATTTTCTTTCGCGTTCTAACTTGCTTCTAGGAAACTGAATTCTAGAGCTTTAAGTTTGGAAATTAAATCTGAATGAAATCATGTAAGCAATAATATCAATAATAGGTAAATATATTCTAAAGTAGGTTTTTTAATATATTGACGTACCTTTATATATTTTTCATACATAGAGACTACAAATTTATTTTTCCAGAATTAAATCATTTATCTTCATATTTAACGAAATTATTTCATTTATATATTGTTAAATCTTGGTTTCTTTTCCTCTATATAGAACCATTGGTCAAAATATAAAGAAAATAATCTTTTAGATTTGTATTTTTAGAAACGAATGTAAATGCAAACAGAAAATTATCTAAATAACACTTTGCAAAATCTATTAATCTAACAAAAAAATGCTAACATATATATATATATATATATATACAGAGAGAGAGAGAGAGAGATATTTCTTATAGAAATCATAAAATATATGTTTTTTTTTATAATTTAGTTTCAAATATAAAGATAAAACCGAATGGAAAGTGTAAATAATATAGACAACCGTCCACAAACACAAAACTGTTTCGTGGGATACTCTAATTAAGGATGCAAGCTGTCATATATATCAATTGTTGATACATACAAACAATAGTATTAAGATAGCATTATTCAAGAAGGTATACAATCTTTGGCTTTATTTAAATGGATATTTATTTCCCGTACCAACCAATTTTTTTTTTTGATAACCGGGTAATCCCAGGCCCAAAGGGCCCAGACTAATCCCGACCCACACGCACAACCGGCACCACACGTGGGGATGTGAAGCACCCGAAGGTGGCCGGAGGGGAAATCTCCATACCCTGGGTGTTGAACCCACGACCTCTTGTTCAGGAAGTGGCCTCTCAAACCAACAGAGCTGGGGGAGATCCCCGTACCAACCAATTTTGTCACTACATAGTGGTTTGGGTTCCCATGGAGACAGCTTGCTTTCGATTTTGTTTAGTAGTCCAATTTGATAATTGTTAATTTATTTTATAACTATGTTGCACTAACAAGGTTGGTACGAGCCTAATCCATTGTCCCCGAGTATAATTATATATAGTTTAAGTTGTATAAATGGATTGGTTTAAGTGTGTCTTTTTCAAATACAAAAAGACACCCATGAAAGTTTTTTTTATAAGAAACTATTTAGAAAGCAGAATTTCGACTCTTTACATGTCTTTAAAGAAACCTCACATACATTCATAATTATTGGAAGATTTTTTTATTGTTAAATATTGGAAGATTTTTTGTGTGTGTATAAATATGAATCCTCCTATTCTATTAGTTTTCTTTTTCTATTTGCTTTGAATGCCATAATTGCAGGATATTTATAGAAAAAAAACATTAGGATTAGAATGTGATAATTAAGTCCAACATTCTGTGTTTCATTTAGGATTTGTTTTTAAGATTTTTCATTTTTTATATCAGATTTCCTTATGTTCAATTTATATTTCCATAAAAAATATTTATTTTGTAAAAGTATTTTTTATTGTTTTTTAAATTTATTTAGTTGATTATAATTAAAAAATAAATATGATTACGTAAATTGACTCGCTACGAAATGAAATATCCATGCACTAAAAAATTGGATACTTTGTGAGGCAACTTGTATTTATTTAATTAGAAGATCCGACCCATGTGCATAATATGCATCTATATTCGATTTCACAATTCTCGAATGCGTGTAAATATCCAACGTAACTGCGAAATATGTTTTATATTTATTTAAAATTATAAAATATTCTTAATTTTTCTTATAAAACAATATTCTTAATTTTTACAATTATAAAATTACTCTTAGTTTTTCTCAAAAACTACAAAAATACCTATAATATTTGATAAAAAAAAAAATCACAAAATTACCTTTAAAATTTTACATAAGGTACCCGAGACATCACGGAACAAACAGTGTTTCCAATACTAAATACTGATACAGATACTCCATCTGTGCTGACAAAAGTAATGAGCCGAGACATATCAGCTCCGTGAGAAGAACAATAAACACGGATGATCCAAGATTGGATAGTTCAACCAGTAAAGAAGGGAACAAAACTTCTTCTCAACCCAGGTTCTGTTAGTGAAGAAGTTACGGTAGATTATTGGACAACTATAGCCTTGGACATGCATGGATGGTTGGAGACGTGCATAATACGCATGGAGTCAAACAAATATACATACGTGGACAACAATCATATATATGACCGTTGGTATATACAAGGAAAGTTATCAATGAAGACAAAATATGCTCCGTAGATCATGCACAAGATTATATGGACGTTGGACTCTCCAAATTATAGCAAGAAGCAATCATATGTCCAATATTGCCTTGTATACACGTAGCCATTTATGTGGTTCATATGTTTCCTTTATTTTACTTCATTTCCATATTTAATTATATCCTAATATCCTTATAAATATGTACACATTCATTTTGAATAATAAGGTGAATTATTCTCTCATTTTATGATACACTTACGGCAACATCACCATCTTCATGTCATTCTTCTTCTATTGTTTTACTCTTTAACCTTCTTATCATTCATTCTCTAATCTCCCAATCTAATTTCCTTCAGGTTCGAGTCCTCACCTGGAAATGGACGTTCATATGGGTTTATCGGATCCTCTGAGAGATGTAGTTGGGTCAAAAGTCCGGAGAATTTACAGATTATAGAAAAAAAAACAACTATAAACATGGATGATTCACATCCCACGTGTGTGTCGCGGGTTCATGTACGTGGGCGGGGTTTACCCAACAAGCACATGAAAAATATTTTGGAAGGTTACGAGAATCCAGCAAGTAGAAGCGAACAAAAGACAATACGCAATATGCAATGTTTGTTCTTGAAGATCTTCCTATATGTGACAAGAAAAGAGACCATGAATGTGATATGTAAAATGTGGAGTTGCATATTCTGATAAGGAGGAAGAATATATATATATATATATGGTTCAACTAAAGCTGAAAAGGATCGGGATACTCATGAACAAGAAATTCTTGACATTTTCGGACGATGAAGGAAAACATGTGGATACCATAAGGAAGGGTAGTTAGGATTTAGAACCAGATTGGAAGATGAACACAGCGGTTAGAACGCCGATGAACCCTGTGAGTGCCAAGGCCACTGTAGGCAATGGGGCCGCTACTCCGAAATTCTGAAAGGAGAGAAGGAAAAACAAAAACGCCATCATAGGCTTTCCTTTTTTCTTTGGTTCAGTTCTTGACAAAGTTTTGATTTGTGAAGATCAAGCAGCGTCTTGATGTATGTACCTGGAGGAGTCCCTTGCCAGTGGCTGTTTCGACAGTAATGGCGATGGCAAAGCCAACCATGGCACTGCGTCCGAGCCATACATCCAAACTGTTGCTTCCCTCGGGGCTTTGCTCACACCTTATCGAAACTGACGCCGCTCTGTTTCTACGTCTTCCTCCACCATGAATTCTCAAATTTTCCGGCACTGATACAATCAGGAAATTACAATAAAACAGGGGAAATTTCTACATACTCGTCCCAATCTGAAACGTGACTTTTCCGAAATTCAGAGATAAAAATCCAATCCATTTCAGTGAATCACAAAAAAAATCAATCTAGAACGAATCAGAAACCCATAATTCAGTCCATTGAGACATCCAGACGAAACCCTAATTCCGGATTGAGTTCAGAAACAACATCATATTTTCAGGAAATGAAGAGTCAGAATTCGGGTGCAAGGAAACGTACAGAGAGGAGAACCGGAAGCGAAGGTGGAGCGGCTTCCACCAAGGCCTGGAACACGAACCCAACATCTAGGGTTCGTCATTCTGGTTAAGCTCATCGCGCCATGATCTGCACACGACGGTCCCAAACAAGTTATACAAGCATACATACAGAAACAGTAGCCATACCGATACAAATCCACACATATATATATATAGAGAGAGAGAGTACTGTGAAGGGGGAAGGAGAGATACGCAGAGAATTGAGCTAAGGCCATTTCACGAGGTGTAGAGACCGAGTAATCACGAAGGCCGGAAGGCGCCACTCTGGTCAGAGGATGATTATCCGTTGGAGAAGGTGACACGTGCCTTCCATATATTCCGCTGAGAAAAGTCTGGGCCTCGATTCTCCGAAGCCCACACCTCTACGACGCCGTTTTTGTACGTTCAAACGTTTCTTTGGAGAAAATTTCATAAAAAATTCCCCGATTTATAAAAAATATCATACAAAATCCCTAATTCAAATTTTATCACGTATATTTTCCAATTTAAAAATTGTTTCCAAATTAATACCGAAATAGTTATTTTACCGTCAATGAATCCGACGCGATATTTTTAATTACGCCACATCACGTGACACGTAAAAAAATTTGACAAATCAACAAATCGAATTATAAAGAATCGGTTTACATATACCGAATTATATAGAATCGGTTTACATATACCGAATTATATAGAACCGTTTGGTCACCACGAAATATCCTTTAACACAGCCTTCAAAACCAATTACCAAAACAGTAACTTGGTAACATCTAAAGATTTAAAAAAAAAAGGACTTGAAATCGGAAATCAATGAAGAACAACCACAACCATTATTCCTAACCAAACTACAGCTTGAGGAAGACGAATTCCTCGACGGCCGGGATTTCTCCGATCTTCTTCAACGTCTCCTTGCTGGGCGGTTCGTCCACTCCGATCGCCATCACGGCCTGCTTCCTCGGCGCTATTCTCCCCACACTCATGAAGCTCACGTTCACGTTCTCCTCCCCGAGTATGCTCCCGACCGTCCCGATCATGCCCGGCTGGTCCACTTGCCTGCATAGTATGATACTCCCTTCTAGACTCACGTCCACTTCGAAAGATCCCACCTTTGTCAGGTGAGGCACTCCGTCCTTCACCCTTCCCTCCACCTTCACCTCCCCTGTTTCTGATAAAGCGCTCGCGAATCTTGAATTTACGTTCCCGAGCTGAACCGTTATGGCCCCGAGCGGGTTTTCAGGTGACCCGTCTAGGAGGACTCGCTCCTCCGAGATTCTTAGGCCTCTCTGCTTGGCCGTGTAGTCGGCGTTTACAAGGTTGATGAACACGTCGGAGATTGGCTCGATGATTCCCTTCGTGATCATTGCTCGAAGAAGTCTGGTGTCGAGATCGTCGGTGGCTCGTGCGGAAGCGTATGTGACTTTCACGCTCTTTATGCCGCTCCCTCCGGCTACAAGTTGTACGGCCAGTCTTCCTAGTTTCTCAGCCAGTATTACGTATGGTTTCAGCTCGGTGAGAACCTGCGGGCATGATTTGAAACATGATCAGAGTGTTTCAACCCATGTAGCAGGAACCATCGGTGCATTGACGGCAGTAGCAGCAAGCTCTCCTTTCAAAGCTCCGACAACAGCTTCGGCAATTTCAATAGCAACTCCTTCCTGTGAAACACCGAATTAAAACATGAGAAAAATCACGGGTATTGCGATAATGGATGCGGGTTTTAAGACACAAACCTGGGCCTCGACCGTACTGGCTCCAAGATGAGGCGTGACAGTGACCCTCTCATGAAGCACCAACTTGCTGTCCTGAGGGGGTGGCTCTTTGGTGAAAACATCGAGAGCAGCCTGAGCCACAATGCCAGAATCAAGAGCTCTCACGAGCGCATCTTCGTCGATCACACCTCCACGAGCAACATTTACGATATGAACCCCTTTCTTCATCTTGGCAAAGGTCTCATCATTGAGCATCTTGGACGTTGCAGGGGTAAGGGGCATGTGCAAGGAGATGAAATCGGCAGTGGATATTGCCTCGTCGAAGCTCACTAGCTCAACTCCGAGGGCACGTGCTCGGTCCGCAGGGGCGTAGGGATCATGAGCAATGACGTGCATGCCCAGTCCCTTTGCTCGCCGAGCAACTTCTGATCCAACCTTACCAAAGCCCAGCACTGCAAGTGTCTTGCCCACAAGAGAAACACCCACATACTTGTTCCTCTTCCACTCTCCTGCATTGTGAAATGAAACCATGATCTCAGAAAACAAATGTACAACCACATCTAGTTCGTTATCCCTGCAAAAGCATCATTAACATTTTCTTCATTGGTACACATTGTTGCCATCTACAAAACCTTAACCCCCAAATGTATGGTAAAAATCCTAACCTTTTCTGATCTCTTTCATAATTAGAACCCAAGACCTAATCACGGATCACTTTCATTCACATGAAAAACCTAATGGGAGATCCAACAAAAAGAAATGCTAAACCTCAGCTCCTTCAGTTGCTCAATGAGACAAAGAAGTGATCGAGCGAAAATCTGTCGTCTCATTGTCTGAAGAACAACAAGCAGAAAGAGCTCAAGTTAAATTCACTTTCTTTACATTCTGATTCTCTATTATTTAGAACCGAAATTCAATATCTTGAATATAATAATGCCGACACAAGAATATAAAGTACACGGAAAAGGAAATGTTCTTGTGATCTGAAGTTGAAAAATTCCAGATCCCATCATTCACAGATATCCAGCAGACAAAAAACTTTTTTGTCCAACGATTACGAAAGGCAATTTATGAGAATTAAGGATAATAAAAATTGAAGAAAAAGGGTTGAATTCAAAAATCTGACCAGCCTTGACGGAAGCATCAGCTTGAGCGACGTTCCTCGCCATGGCCGCCAATAGCGCGATCCCGTGCTCCGCGGCTGCGATCGTGTTTGCCGTCGGCGCATTGACGACCAAGCAACCGAACTCCGTGGCGGCGCTCAGATCCACGTTGTCGATCCCCACGCCAGCGCGTCCGACCACCTTGAGCCGCCCACGAGACGACTCGAACACCTTGCGACCGACCTTCGTCCCGCTCCGCACGATCAACGCGTCGCATAGCGAGATCTTCGTGTTGAGCTCCTCGGGAGTCATGTTATACGAGCAGTCGACGTTCGCGAATTCCTCCAGGAGCTTGACCCCGTCGCTCCTCCATCGCCGGAGGAGCAAGTCACTAGGACGAGCCTTCGCCGCAGGGGTATTTCGCACCCCTTGGTGGAAAATGCGACGGAGAATGCCGACGGGAGGGGCGATTTCGAGGAGAGAGACGAGATCCTGAGCGGCTTGGCGACAACGGCGGAGGATATGGCGGAGGAGGCCATATCTGCGGTTGTGTTGTCGGAGAATCGATGTAGAGGTCGGCTGGTTTTGGTGGACGAGTATACTGTACACAGATGAAGGTGGGGGGTTTTATAGTGGGTTTAGGGGTTTGGTGATGAGAAGGCGATAGAATCTCACGCGCGGATTGGGCGCGTGGGTTCATTTATTAGGGAGAAGTTTTTTTTTTTGTATTTCCAAATGTTTCGGCGAATAGAGTGACCTCTTTTTTGGGGAAAAATCTTGCAAAAAGTGCAAGTTGCTACATAAATGTATTGTTATTATTTATAAAAAAATAATTGTATTGTTAGTACACAAATCATTTTTTACTTCAATAATAATAAACCATCAGCTGTAATATCCATCATTATATTAATGTGCTAAAATGGACCAAAATGAAGAGTAGACTAACAAAAGAAAATTGTCTGAATCCAACACGCAAACAAATCTAGATAACAAATATTTCAAATAAATTTGATTTTAATAAATATAACTTCATCGGCGGCTTTTGACTTGGAACCGAATTTATTGATATTTTGTGTGTAAAAATAAACTGCGACTCCAAAAGCTTATAATATACTCACAAGGAGTCGTTAATATGGCGCGTGAAAGGTTTTGCAATTTCATTTGCAGCTGCTTAAAGATGCATCAATATAGTTTGGCGGGTCGAACCTCTGTACTTTTTTTTATTGCAATTAGTAATATTACATTAAGTTCGTGTGAGCAATGAACTCGACCGGGTTTAGGCCGAGACGGGTCGTGACTCGTGACTCAGGTGCAAGGAGGGCAAAAGGGAATAGAACTTGTTTTGAAAATGTGCATATTACAAGACATGCATTAGTTAGAGCTTTTCTTCTAACAAGCGATATCAATTCACTGCCATAGCAGAAACCCGGGATCCGTCGAACAAATACATAGCTTACGAAATCTTGACAGGCGAAAAATGAGGATCAAAGATTTAGTAAAGTAGTGAAATGGGAATAGGTCGATAGAAGAGGAAACTAGGTGAAGTTGGAGAGATAAGCTTCGGCCAACAAGAGGCCGAGCTTGGCTTGAGCCTCTGTGGTCAAATGAAGATTATCGGGCTTGAGAGGCAATCCCATTGCGTCGACTGTTACCACATTCGGCATTTTCAGCCCGAGCTGAGCTTCTCTCACCTTCTCTATGTGCCCTCCCCCCGATGCTATAGCTACCTGCATCACACCCGTCAGCACTTCCCTCCCATTTCGCCTCTCTATCTTTGTTTCGATATCTAAGAGACGGCTCCAAGTAATCCACAGGGAGCTAACCCTTTGTCTAATGTTCTCTACGCTAAGCATGACGAATTAGTCATCAAACCGAAACACTAAACCTTTGCTCAAACTTTTTACTATTATCCAGAAATGAGGATTTGTCTAAAAAGAAGACAGAACACTTCCACACTTCCTCCATAACTCCTAACATTTCAATGAAAACAACCAACGAAAAACTAAATCCTTTGACGTAGAAGCTTAAATGGACGAAGACAGGCCCGATCCTTTACACCAACAGCACCATACTCCTCGTTGGTGAAGCCGATTGGAAAAGCATACATGGAGGAAAGGAAATATCATGATTGAGGATCAGCTCACTACCTAATGAAACAATGTACCACCAGCTAGGAACGAATCGTGGCTAATCACACCGTCTTCACGAATTCTAATCCTGTTGGGATGCAATCAGGTACTAGAATTCACATTTGTGGGTGCATATTCACAAACCCACCTGACTGAATTTAGCCCTAAAAAGTTGCAGCGTATCCTTCCATGTATAACAATTTCCAGGCAATTATATACAGTTTCATGAACAGACAATCCACTCTACTATGACTACACATCAAACCCACTAAACTGAATTTGGGAAATACAGTCTTGAAACATGTTCTTCAAGGCATATAATCTAGATTCACTCTTCCTACGAATCGCATGAACCAGAGAATAGAAGTAAAGCAACAGATTCAGTACCTGAACAATGGGGAGATCAGGAAGTTCAAGATCACCACGAAGATCCTTGATCAGACGCTTCATGTTGCTCCCGTAACTCTCGGCGTCGTGGATGCTCGACACGTCACTCTCCCCTTGGTACCAAAGCAATGCCTTGACCTCGCCGCCGGATCTGCGACTCTCCTTCGTCCTCCTCACCATCCTCTCGTACAAATGGCTCCCACGCTCCCACTCCCTAATCGCCGTCCCCCCGGAGGCGCACGGCACCAGCCCTATCGTCTCCGCCGGCGCGTTAATCGTCACGCGCTCCCTCACTGCGTTAGAGAACGCCATCCCCGGGCCCACGCCGCAGACCTTGCCGGTGTCGATGTCCGCGTGGAGAGGCTCGCGCGCTTGCTCCCACCTGAGATCGGCGCTCAGGCGGAGGATCGCGGGATTCGAGGCACATTCCGGCGGAAGGCCACCGTCCCAGACCCAGCGGTTGTGGTGGTGGTCCTTGACGACGCCGCCGCGACCGGCCATGTTGCTTTGGCCGGAGAGGATGAAGATCTGGGAAGGGGTGTTTGGTTGCAGGGCTTCCTGCGTCCCTGCACCGTGACAAGGTGATCCTCCTCCCATTTTCGGTCGGTCTTCGGATTTTTTTTTTTTTGAAATTTGAAGCTTGAAGGAAAGAAGTCCTCAATTGGTGAATTTCTTTTACAAGCGACAACCTCTAATTTATTCAATTTTTTCAACGAACATTTATAACATCTGTCCTATCAATTGATTACATCGTACAAAAAAGATTGTACCATCTGCCACACAAGTGAAGTGTGGCCGTTTCGGTAGGTTCTCCATAACCGGACAGTATGGAACCGAAAAAATGCAGTACCGATTCCAAATCAAACCGTCTAAAAATATTTGAACGATAACTTTTTTTATAAAACCGAATTTTTCCGAATCAAATCAAATTTTAAAAAAAAACATGATAGGCCATTTTTTTTTAAAAAAACTAAAATTTTCTTTTAAAAATTTTCAGTATGTCAACCGCAAGCAGTGCATTTGATTTGAGCACGACCTTAAATATTTTGGGGCCCTATTTTTTTTTAAATTGTGGCCAGAGAAATGATGAAGATACAAAAATACAAGTGGCCAAAAGAAAAGCTATTCAATCCTATAATTTAATAGAATTTAATTAATTGTACAATCAGTCATGCTGTAAAATGCATTAATTGTGCTGTCGGATAGTATTTATTTTTCTAATTTTTTTTTCTAGTCAATGAAGAAAAGACAGTTTTAGTGAAACAAGATCTATAGATTAACCAAAACGAGAACATAGAGAGATACACAAGAGCTTATGTAACAAAGACAATAAGCTACATACAACTAGAAAAAGAAAAAAATATAAAAAAGACAACAAAAGCCTATGCTTTCACTGCAACAACTTATGCATCTTCTCCTTAATGACAGTAATTATAATTTATATAAAAAAACAAAAAAAAAACAGAAGGTAAATCCTAAAGGGTAGTTTTGTCTAGCACTTGACACACTTCCTTCATGGAAGGTCGCTTGTGAGGCAAGGAAGAGACACATCCAAACCCTAACCTAAACCATGCCAATGCTCTGTCCTCTTTTCGTGCCACGTCAGCCCTAATTGCTCCCTCGACTGACCTCAAGATCATCCCTCTTTCCTCGGCCCCCGACTCGAACATGTTCGACAACTGACCCAAATCTCGATCCATCGAAAACACTCTCCCCGTCATAAGCTCCAGCATCACCACACCGAACGAGTACACATCCCATTTAGGGTTTGGCTTCTGGCTCCTCCACGACTCCGGCGCCTTGTACGGATCGGCGGTGGGACCCGCAGATGGGCTCGAACTGGGCCCGGTATTGTGGCTCGATGGTTTATGGGCCTGGCGGGTAAGACGGTCTAGGCCCAAATCGGTTATAATGGGCTCATAGTCAGTGTCCAAGATGATGTTGTTGGGCTTGATGTTGCCGTGAGCGCGCTTCTTCTCGTGGACATAAGCGAGTCCTCGAGCTATGCCTCTTGCTATCTTGAGCCGTACCTCTAAAGACAATTGGCCTTGTGAAGAAGACGATGACGACCCTGCTTTTCCTATTTCTGTACGGAACGCAAAACATGTTTGAGATTATTAAAGAAAATCAAACAATTATGGTTATAATATAAGAACTCTTTGAATATAAAGGAGGTTTAAAGGGTCAATGCTAAAATGCGCCGAGTGAGTATGCGTATTTTAGTGAATAAGTAGTGGTTTAGCTAATTTGCGCTAACAGAGGAGGAGCTATGCAAAACTCACTGTTAATGGAGCAAGGCAAGCTGCCGTTGGGGACATAGTCGGAGATGAGAAGCTTCTCGTCGTCTCCCCAGCAAAACCCACGAACCCTAACGAGGTTTCGGTGTCGGAGCTTCGCGATTGTGCGAACCTCGCGCTCGAACTCCTTTAGCCTCGCCGTCGCGCAGCTCTCGGTCCCGATCCGCCGCACCGCGAACGCTGAGCCGTTCTCCAGCACCGCTTTGTAAAGGATTCCGCTCCCGATCGAGCCCAGTACGTAAGCCGATGCCTTCAGCAGAGCGTCTAGCTCCAATTTGGTCTCGCCGTCGACCGTCACGAGCTGAGTCTGAGTGGTGCTCTGTCTGAATCGCCCACCATCTGTTCGATTCAATGCCTGAATCGTTTGCTGGTCTTGAATCTGGTTCTCTACATCGCTCTCGGAGCTGTTAGCTTCCGACGCCGACGTCTCGTCGTCCCCTCTGTTCATGATTATGCACGACCCGCATGCAGTTTTAGCAGGTGGAGATTCTGTGACCTCTGTGGTGATGGGTGTTAGGTGGTGATTTGATTTTTTGGTGGACAAGGCGTCATTTTTCTCCAAGCATTCTTTCAGGACGCTGAATGTGCTGTACTGTTCGTAGCTCCTGCGTTTCCTGAGCTGGTATACGTAGAGGATGAACATGGCTAGAATGGCTAAGCCTGCTATGTCTGCAACTGTGATTCCGACAATGGTGCTTGGCTTTAGCTTGCTTTTGGCTGTCTGATTCGGTGACTCTGTTAAAGGGTTTGTCGTAGTTGTGGTTCTGGGCATGACTGCTATAGCTGGAGAAGTTGTTTCGGAGGTATTGTTCGGTGGGTTCGAGAGAGTGGAAGGGATTGAACAAAGGTTCTTCAATGGCTTCCCACATAAACTCGGATTTCCAGTAAAAGACTCTGTTTTTTGGTTAAGTAAAGGGACGGATTCAGGTATGGGTCCCGTTAAATTGTTAAAGGAGAGATCGATTATGGCGTTTGCAGGAACTTCCTCGGCGAAACCTGGAGAAATAGTGCCGGAGATGTTGTTGTGTGATAAACTGAGGTAACGCAAACTTTTTCCACCGAAATTCAGAGGAAGAGACCCGGTCAGAAGATTCGAGGAAAGATCCAGAACCTGTACTGCTTCAAACCCACTTGGAAGATCACCTGAAAGGGAGTTACTTGACAGGGAAATGACCGTTAGATTCTTCAGAAGCGTGAGGTTGCGCGGGATTTTTCCGGCGAATGTGTTAGCTGAGAGATTCAAGAGCCGGAGGCTTGCCATACTGCTGAGTTTCTCAGGCAATTCACCAGAGATGTCGTTGTTCCCAAGGGACAGAACCCTAAGCTCAGTGGCGTTGAACGCAGAATCCGGCAGTGACCCATTAAAGGAGTTGTTGGAAAGATCCAAGATTCTTAGGTGAGGGATCGAGAACAAGCTCGAAGAAAGTGAGCCCAGAAGCTGTTTGTTGGGTAGAACCAAGCTTGTAACTCTGAACATGTCTGGTGTGGTAGGGTTTCCGAGCTGTGTACAAGTGACACCAGACCAGGAACATGGTGTCGCATCGTCATAGTTCCAGTTTTCCAAAACGGAGAACGGGTCACTGAGAACGGAGTACTTGAAAGAAAGCAGAAGGACTCCATCTGCGGTAAGAGCTTGAAGCTGTCTAGGGACAACAAGAAGACAAAAGAGAAACGAAAAGAGGAAAAGGCTCATAAGGTTGCTTCCGTTAGAAGTCATGGACTGAGTTCTTGGACCTCTCTCTGTCTGGTAATGCCGACGGCTCTATGCTTCTTCTTATGTGTATATTCATAGAAGAGAGAGAGAGAGAGGGTGAACCACTGCAAGTTATTGTTGTTCTGTTCACCAAAACTGCGAGGTATTGGAGCAAACTGAGAGAGAGAGAGAGAGAGAGAGAATCTATGAAAGTGTTGGCAAGTGAAGTAGGAGTTGATGAAGAAAGAGCTTTTGACCAAAACATGGTTCAGAATCATTCACTGTTAAAAAAGAGGGAGAGAATGCATTTTCCCTAACATTTCGCGGAGTAAATTGTAAATAGGAGACAAGATCTTGGACTGCATGAAACTGATATATATATATATATATATATATATATCAATCAGTTCATCGATTTTTCCTATAATTTTCAACATTTTAAGGTCAGAAATCTAGCAGAGAAAGGAATCTACCGTCCGTTGCTAAAGGACAGCCATGTGGGTTCCCACGAGGAGCTTGTCCCAATTATTTTTATTTTTTTTTATTTTTGTATAAATTCGTGTTCCTCATCTGATCCACATTTGCGCCTCTCCTTCTCCTTTTTTGGGGACGATTTATTAGCGTTTACAGCTTTGTCTCTGAGAAAAAAATAAAATAAATATCTTGATTCTTTTTTTCTATCAAAACATGATATTTTTTTATGCGCCATTGAATTGTGTTGTCCATGAGCTTTATGAAAAATATTAGTATCACTTACACACAATAATCGTAGATATGTTGTATCATATAATCGAAAGCATGTGTTATTATATATCTGATATAGACATTAAAGATCTTTAACAACCAAACTTAGAACACATGTGCCATAAGAGTTTAAATTTGTATACTTACATACATATATATATATATATATATACATCCATTCGAAAATTTGCTCCAAGATTTCATTGCAGCCATTTTCTTATTATTATTATTATTATAAACAATTTAATTGAAAAAAAATTAAATGACTGCAAAAAGGAGGAAGAAGACGGCAAGGTGTCACGGGTTGTGACAATTTGGACAGTGGAATAAAGAAAGGATGGGTCCTCACTCCTCAGCTAATCCAACACACGATTACTTTAATTGATCTCCACCCTCAGAAAGTAATCACAGCCTTACAAAGGCACATTCCATGATTAGCTTTGCCCATCATTACTAGCTAATCCATCTTCTTTGTGATTTATTACCCAAACTTTGTGTCCGAATATCATATTTTATTTCCTTTTTTTTTTTTTAATTTCCTTATTTATATGCCTAAAATTTTGGCACATTCTGTGAAGTTTGTTTCTTGTTGAAGAAGAAGCTTTGGATTTTAGGGCGAAGAATAGGCTATGAATATAGTGATATTAATGATATTTTTGTATAAATTGATTATAAGCTAGCGGATAGCAAAGCTAAATCGAGGATAACCTAAAATTAGGCTGTTTAAATTTGCTTTAGTGTTGTGATTTTAGTTATAACTTTCACATTTTGATCTCTTTTTTTTTTAGAAATAAAAAATAAATATTATGATTTTCTTGTAATAAAATTATCAGAATATTAAGACCTTGATGATTGTCATGTTTTTTCATGTTTGTTTAAATATATCTCGCTATCTATATGATTATTTTATTTTTAAACGAAGTTTTTAGTTATAACCGACACTGCATTATTGTGTTTTTTTTTCTTTCATAATTTTAAAATCAAGTAAGAGATTATCAGATCGAATTACTATAGAAAAATGTATTTTGAGTATTATATTTTAGGTTATAAACTCTATTTTTTAATAGATTCATAGATTATTCTACTTCTGAATTGAAAAAAAAATCAATAAAAGCTAACTATTTAATTAGATTGAGAGACCTAAATTATATTTTAACCAAACTTTAGAATTAGATGCCATTTGAATTTGTTGTATTTTTTTTTAATCTGACAGTTTAATCGAATATTTCTAAAAATATCAATTAAATTAAGTGCATGAGTTCATTTGATCGAATATTAGTTTCAATGTAGGATCGCCTTGAATCCTCTTTCGAAGCGGTTTAAATGAGTGTACGCACACATGCATGTTTCGTACGTCCCAAGTAGGTAACTTTTATAAAATCATCATCATCATCATAATGATAATAACAATACTAACAACAACAACAACAACAACAACAACGCTATCTATATGATTATTTTATTTTTAAACGAAGTTTTTAGTTATAACCGACACTGCATTATTGTGTTTTTTTTTCTTTCATAATTTTAAAATCAAGTAAGAGATTATCAGATCGAATTACTATAGAAAAATGTATTTTGAGTATTATATTTTAGGTTATAAACTCTATTTTTTAATAGATTCATAGATTATTCTACTTCTGAATTGAAAAAAAAATCAATAAAAGCTAACTATTTAATTAGATTGAGAGACCTAAATTATATTTTAACCAAACTTTAGAATTAGATGCCATTTGAATTTGTTGTATTTTTTTTTAATCTGACAGTTTAATCGAATATTTCTAAAAATATCAATTAAATTAAGTGCATGAGTTCATTTGATCGAATATTAGTTTCAATGTAGGATCGCCTTGAATCCTCTTTCGAAGCGGTTTAAATGAGTGTACGCACACATGCATGTTTCGTACGTCCCAAGTAGGTAACTTTTATAAAATCATCATCATCATCATAATGATAATAACAATAATAACAACAACAACAACAACAACAACAATAATAACAACAACAACAACAACAACAACAATAATAATAATAATAATAATAATAATAATAATAATAATAATAATAATAATAATAATAATAATAATAATAATAAAAGGAGGACAGAAATGAGAAATGTATTGTTGAATGGGTTGACATGACGGTCACGAGTCGATGTCGTGTTCCTGATTATATTTGTCCCACCCTTAGCTTTTGTTTCCTTTTTGTAAATTATTTTTCTCTCTTTTTCGGTATTTGTATTTTGATATCCTAGTAACTCTAATTAAAAATAATAAATAAAATTTATTTACATCTAAAACATATCCCATGACCCCAAAAATCAAAATCGACGTGACTATATTCATCATAATTATTTTTCTAACGAAAAATTATTGTTAGATTACTTTTTTATATATAATTCCTTTTTGACATTATTCTTCTTCTTTGTTTTGCAAAAAGTGGTGTGGAGTCCAAGAACAAGGAGTTGATTTGACACATATATAGCACAAAGAGAAAAGCCAAGGATTTTGGTTTAGATATCACCAAAATATTCAAATTATATATTAAATTATTTAGTTGACAAACTTAAATTTGAATTTATTTGGATATTCAAGAGGCAGGATGAACACATTGTCTCAAAGTGATGTTTGTCCATATACATATATTGGAATGTTTTAGATTGTCACTACTCCAAGAAATTTGCATTTGAATCTATAGATATCGTTATAAATATCATTTTCCATTTTGTGTGTGTAGATATTTTCTTTATATATGTAGACATAAGCTTTATTATCATAAATTCTAAAAGATGTAATTGGTTGAATTTCTATATCATAAAAAAACTTTGTCATCATACATTTAGTATTTACTATCTAGATATATACTTCGTTCCCTAAACCATCATGATTATAAATAAAAAACAATTTTTTTTTATCATATCCAGATTATATTTTGTTGAAAAAATATTAATAGTTTAAAAATGGTGCACATGTTTTCTAATAATTAGTAAAAGCTCATACTTTGCTTGTTCCCTTATCTTTATGGGGCAGCAAGACGAATGGTGTGGAAAAATATATTATAGATTTTCAGATAATCCATAATTATATTTTTATATGATTTTAATATAACGTTGAATATACATTTATCATGGTCGTAAAAATAAAAAAGGGTAGAAAGTTGGCAGCCTCCTATTGATTGAGCCAACTCAATGCACATTCAAACACATGAACACGAGTTTTCGTTACTGTTATGTTCTATGTAAACTTCACACAAACAAAATGAAATCTTTAATTTCGCTTAATTTTCATTATGCCACCATTTAATCACACCATATTTTATCATTTATTATATTTTTCGGTGTCGGATTTTACACTACAAATATTTCAATTCAAATCCTATTACAATAGGATAAAAAAAAAACTCATATTCAACCATTGTATCCCCTTATTAAATCATTGATTTATTACCCGAATTAGTACACAGGTTTTTAGTAGTGGTGGACATGGGCGGGTACCCGAACATTTTAGAGTATCGATCTCGATCTCGGTGTCGCCGGATTTTTTTTTTTATCGAAATGTCTCGATCTTTATCTCACGAAATCCGGGTACTCGCGTCACGAGACCGGGTATCCGTGAGACCCGAACCCGAGTGTAGTTAAAAAAATCAATCAATCCAATCATAGGCTATATATTTAACAGATTAACTCAATGATTAAGAATGGAATAACATCTATCTATATATTTAACAGAGAGAAAAATATAAATAAGATTATGATTGAGGGCTGACGTCTGAATAGGCTACAGTTGGGGCCCAAATATAAAGTTTCATGGACGCAATTTTGCAGAACTTGGGCCAGTGATTGATGAGAGTGTAAATACATAAATAAATAAATAAATAAAATAGTAGAAGAACGACCACAAAAAAAAAAACCTTGGATGTAAATGATAAAGGAATCAAACACATGGAGAAATCAAATTGAACCGAAAGGAACTCCAGATTCTGCTGAATGGTAACACTCTAAATTACTTCCAGCTACAGGGTCTGATGCAGCTTGGGCTTTGACCATAAACATCTGTTTCGAGTTCTGCATCAAAGCACAAAGAGATTGAAACCTTTCTGTCTGGAAAAAAAGAAGAAGATAACGGTGGAAATCTAAAACCTGAGAGGGTGCTGCCTGCAGTTCCACTCGTAGGCTCTGGTCTGCAAAGAACAAAGCGGAAGTCTTGAGTAACTTAGAGTCTCAGTTCATCAAAAAAGGAAAAAAACAGGAACCGATGATTTATCGACTAAACCTTCAGGCTAAATAATGCAAGAGAAAAAGGCTGAAGCTCACGAGGTGCCACAGATGGAGCAGAAACCTGAGGCGTAGCCAAAGAAACCCAATAGTTTGATTAGGAAAACTGACACTGGGATCACTAGGCGCAACATACGGATAAACACTTCCTATCTCAGATTATTGTGCAAATTAAAAAGCTCTGATCTGGTAAACCTTAGCAGAGCATATTACTGATGTCCTAACCTTGATTAGCACTAGCAGGTGGTGGGGATGCAGTTGAAGAAACCTTGCTCTATAGTTTGTCCCAAAAGAAATAAGCAGATAAAAATTTAGATCACAGTTTAGAACCCCATTGAGCCTTGGCACATCGGTTAAGTTGTTGCCATTGTGACCTTAGATTAGAGGTCACGCGTTCGAGTCTTGGAAGCACCCTCTTACAGAAAATTCCACAAGCTAAGATTTGCCTACAATACACCTTTGTGACGGGACCCTTCTCTACATGCTTTGTGCACTGACTGCCCTTTTTGGAATCCCATTATCAATACTATGCTGACTGAAAAATAGATTCTGAAGAGAATCAACAAGTAGAGAACTTTCCCATGCTAAGTCCAACCTAAGAAAACATGATGACAATAAAACCGTTTCTCAGCAAATTTGTTTCTCTTCCAATGCAGTTTCATCATTGAGAACCTTCCCTTGGTGAATTAGCATCTGCCGAGAACCGTTTCTGTAGTCTTCTTAATATCAGTAACCTAAGGCCAACAAAGATTAGTAAGCCTTCAACAATTTACATACTCGTATTAACAGTAACTGTCTTTATATATACTGCCTAAAAAGCTTTCTATATGTTTTCCTCAAAATTTACCATATGGAAACATTCTTAGTCTACCAAGAATCGATGAGGTTAGAGCAAATGCGCGTATACACGAAGCAACAACAAGTATTTTCAAACTTTTTCAGGTGATGGGAATCAGGATTATCTATCTATAAGTTCCTACAAGTGTAGTTACTCTCCAAGTGAAAATGAAAGTATAGACCGACACTCATCGAACCCTAATCAAATTCCAATCGATCACAGTCGCAAAGCAGTCCCCAGAAAAATTCAGCCCCACAAAATCAGGAGAATAAAAGCAAAAGCCATAATTTCAAATCAAAGACTCTAACGAGAAAACCCTAATTCCGGAAAAATTCAATCCTCCAAGACCAAATAGACCACAAATCAAAGGAATCGCAAACCCACCACCGAACAGGAAGGATCAGATCTAAAACAGATTTCTTTGCAGAACACCAAAAGGACTAAAGTTCGGGAATCAAAGCACCTTATCCTCCGGTTTTTCTTCGATATCGAAGCTCGTCCCCTTGAGAGTCTTCACGGAAATCTTCATCTCGGAGGAGGAAACTTGCAGAGAGAGAAGAAGAACGGGGGGTTTCTGTATGGTTTATATACAATTACACATCGCAGTGTTGAAGCGTTTCAGTGTATCCATCGTTCCTTTCACAGAGATTAAACGTAATATGACCGTTGGATTGAATTGAAAAGGTGCATCACATTAATTAGGCTTATATTATTATTTTATGGATTTAGGTTTAATTCTGTATTATTGGGTGGAATTTTATAATATTTTAAATGTTTTATTATTTGGGTTTTTGCAACGTATATATATGTTAGATTGAATTAGGGGACTGGGGTTTCTCTTTCGACTCCTCTCCTACTTATTAGCGCCGCTCTCTTCGCCGCCTCGAATTTCCGGCGATTTTCCTTCGTTTTACTTTCGTCGAGCTTCTCCGTCCCTGTCTCCGTTCCTGTCTCCGTCGAACGAGGTAAGGATCTCTGTCTCTTTGTCGGTCTTTCGATTTAGGGTTTCTTCGCCGGCAAGATTCCGTCTTTTCCGGCGATTTAGGGTTTTGGTCTTCCTTGGTCTCCTCTGTTGGGGTTTCCGGTTCTTCCGTCGGTCTCTCTCTGTTGGGTTTGTTTGGGTATGTTTCAATGTTTGCAAAGAGGAAAGAGATCGATTCTCACTGGGCTTCGTTGGTATTCTCGGTGCTTGTATTTTACTTTTAGAGCGGCCAGCCAAACCCAAGATAATCGTAGAGAAGAGATTGTGACATTGAACTCGAAAAATTGTGCATAAAACTCTGCCAAGGATTCTAAACCAAACTTTTCAAACATTGAAACCGAAGCTTTTTCAGGAAGTACAGGTCTTGTGTCTGCCAATGATAGTGGGTAACGGGTTTGATTGCAGACAAATTATACGTTGTTCGACACCACAGTTATGAACTCCAGAACTTAGGAATGAATTTTCTGTCTTATGTGTATGAGCGTTGTGTTGCTATCTAGCCTTTTCTTGAAGCTGTTGTAGATGAATTTCATGCCCTTTTAAGTATGGATTGCCATTGGTTGTGTATGTGAACTTTATGATTGAAGTTGGTTAGCTAAGGGATACTTAGAAGAACAAGTACTTGTAACGTGAGGACTTGTGTTTTTCATTTTATGTAAGGATTTAGATTTGTGTGACTTTGGATTAAAATTGTTGATTTTGTAAGATTTCATATGAAAGTATGTATGGAATTTTTATGGAATTTGCTATTTGGCTTGGAAATATTGAATAGGTTGCTGGAAATTGGATACAAGACACGGGTTGGGTTCCCACGTGTATCTGACCCTATATTGGGATAATTGGCCCATGGCCCCATGGATCTCGTCAGTGCCGAGATCTATCCTAAAAATGGCAGATACGCGCTTGGGCCCACCCCTACTTCTTCATCTTCTCTATTTGGGTTTTTGGAATTAGATCTGTGGTCGGTGAAGGAGTTTCAGGTTTAGGGTAGAAAAGTCTATTCTTCTTCGTCTTCTTTGATCTTATATATATGTAGGCCAAAAGCCTTAACCTAGTTGCTCTCAACAGATATGTCTTTTCTCTCTCTTCGTGTCCAACGCGAAGCCTCTGCCCAGACGATTCCTCTGGAGAATCTCCCTCTTAAATTGGGGATGTTTTTTGACCGTTTCCCCAATTTGGCAGCTTCTCCAATTTTCAGTTCAATTGTCAAGAAGGTAGTCTCTGGATAAAAACATGTATATTTTTTACTTAGGAGATCGAAAGATGGGTTCAAAACTTTTCTAGGTGTTCAAATTTTTAAATTTTGGGGTGTTGTATTGTCAGGGTGAAGAAATTGAAGAGGAAGAGATGGTGACAGCTCTGTCAATGGTGTTTCTTCATCCAAAATATACAGCTCCCATGACCTATTACTTCTCTGCCGTAATCAGACTTGTTTTAGATAAAGTTGTGAGCCTTCTCCAGCTAGTGGGTGATCTGAGATCAAATCCTGACCATTCCGATGATGAATCGCTTCTTGATCATTTCGTGAATAGTGGTGTTGGGATAATTGATTACTATGTTCGACATGGACGAGGTTTGGAACTTCATGAGTGTGCTTGCTTGGCCTTCAGCCGTGCCCTTCATTTAAATATGTCTTTGTTAGGGTGAGGAAATTCTTTAAGTTGTAATCTCTTTTCACTTATTAAAAACTAGATTATACACGATGATGACATTGTCATTGTAAAAAATTCGGTACAAAGACAAAATGCTGTTATTAAAAATTTGTTTATGTTCCCTAAAAGGTGTTTACTTTGTTGCAGTTCTGTCCTAAATTATTTCAAGTTTGCTCCAGCACCTCATGAACGTCTTGTCAACGAAATGAACTCAGGGATATATAGAGAGGTAGATTTTCAGTATGTTTGACAGTTGTATCCTTTTGAAAGGAAGAAAACATCATGATTCTTCTTGAGGGAGGATTAGTTTCTTTCCTGCTAAGGTTTGTTATACATTTTAACTCACTGGGCTGTTTGTCCTTTCATAATCAGGTTGCATCTGTATACTTGCCTGGTGTGCAAGTAACATATCGTTTTCTCTGTATTAGTCGTGAAGTTTTCTCTGAGTTATGGGATTGGTCTTGTTTCTACGACTCCATGAGGAAGCTTTCAGAATGTTCTAAACAACAAAGAGATTTATCGGAAAAGCATAGGGATGCTATATGGGTTGGTGAACAAATTCTTTCCTGTGTCTTGATATGGAATGACAGAGCCACAGAAGAAGTAACAGAACGTTTTGGTCTTGGAAAAGAAGAAGCATTTTCAAGCTTATTGCGGTAGTCCCTCATCTAGCTACGTTGAGAATTGTTTTACTAATCTGTTAGCGATTCGTCTCTAAAGAATTATTTTCTTTGATATTTTCAGTTGGCAGGAATTTTGCCAGGATGTAGAAATTGAGAAGGCTGGATTGTACATTGAGTTTCCTACCCATACGGGGCTGGGGTCATTGAAACGGTGCACAGATTTCTACCATCCTAGTAATCTGGAATATTTGGCTAACTGCCCGCAATCATCACAGCTAGACAATCTTGAGCCCTTGCGAAAGATTCGGAGGCTTGACGATCGGTTGGTTCTCATCGTGTTAACCTTTTTTTTTGGCTCATGCAAAGTCCTTGCATTTAGTTTTCCTTTTTATCTTTACTTGAGAATTTTTAATTACTCCTAGCTCTTTAATTCAGGGGTGATAGATCATTTTCTGAACCATTTGCCATCAACTCTAGAGCGAAGAAAAGTTATGAAATGGCCTCTCTAGCTGTTAGTCAAAAGCGACCTGTTCTTCTATATGGTCCTTCGGGTTCTGGTAAGACACATCTCATTCGAAAGTTGGCTGAAGACAGCGGGAGCCATGGTATGATCTATTCTTATTGCATATTATTGAATATTGGATTCGAATGTTTTAGGTAATTGGCTAACGATTGAACAGATACTTTGTGGTTTGTTCGAGTAACAATATCTTTCTATAATCAGTATTTGTTGTACGTATTCATTCTTTACCCGATGCCAGATGGCATACAACCATGTTGAGGTGTAGCTGTACATTCTATAACAATGCTGCTTTGCGACTCGTTGTTTTATGATAGTTCTTGCACACGAATGCCTTCTAATTATATTGATTGCTTCCCTTCCTTTCTTTTCATTGTTATAGTTATATTTATCCACATGGATGACCAACTTGATGGGAAAACCTTGGTTGGCACTTATGTATGTGCCGACCAACCTGGAGAATTCAAATGGCAGCCTGGTTCATTAACTCAGGTGTGTTGCCTTTTGGAATAACTATTATCTATTTGCCTCTTTCTGCATTTTTACTATTTGTATTTTCCCTCCTTGTAGGCTGTCATGAATGGCTTCTGGGTTGTTCTCGAGGACATTGACAAAGCACCATCAGATGTCCCTCTTGTATTATCACCTTTGCTTGGAGGTTCAAGTTCATTTGTGACCAGTCATGGAGGGGTGACCATTTTCTCTTTACTGCTCTTTGAATTGTTCTGTTATGGAAGAGCTGTTTATAGTCATTTTTGGCCTTCATGCTTCCATTCTATTATTGTTTTTTTTTCCTTTTCTGATATGTATCAGGTTTTCTTCGCTGTTTAGATTTTGTTCAAAATTTCAGAGTCTCAAATAGTTTGTCTTTTTCAGAAAATACAGATAGCAGATAATTTCAGACTGTTTTCAACCATATCTACCTCTGAGGGCAGCATATCAAACATTAGAGAAGGTATATTTTGTGGTCATAAGTTTCTGTGGCACCTTACAAGGTTCATTCTTTAGTTCTATTGTTCTGCACTAGATCTGCTCATATGTGTTCAGTGAATGTTTTTGTATAGTTTCACCAGTGCCTTGTAGTGACAGCAGTGAGTGTTTTTCTACTTTTGTGAGTTAGGTTTGATATATACAGGTCTAATTCAGCAAGAGGTATATAGATTTTTTGGTAACCTGGTAATCCTGGTACTTTTTTGTTGGAGCTTTGCTTCAACCATAAGTCTGGAATGTTGGCCCTTGTTAGAGAAGTGGATAATCAATCAATTGAGAATATAATGTCCTTTCAAGTAACACACCTAGCGGGATATATGTAATATATTCTATATGTTTTGACCAAGAATAGTTGAAGTGGGAACATTTTTTGATAGCTACAGTCCTTAGGCATTCATAAAGTTTTTACTGTGTTGTTTTTCTGTCATCACCAGAATCAAAACTGTTACTTCATTATGTGAACGATATTTCAAAGTAGTATATTTGTTATGCTTGTTTTGTTGGAATGTAGGTGGAAGTGCTCTTAGTCCTCTTTGGAGGAGAATTCTGGTCCGTCCGCCGGATACAGAAAGCTTGCAAAGTTTGCTTGCTAGATATCCAAGCTTGGAGCCTGTTTCCAAGAAATTCATTGGTAGGTCCTTGCACATATTTGCATTAATTGTGTGAGGGTTTTATTCCTATGGTTTAATTTATTCCACCTTTTGCAGAAACATTTGAAAATGTTAATTCTGCACTTTGTTTGCAATTTACAAGTTCGCGGACTGAAAACCCTACTTCCTTCAGATCTCCAAATAGATTTTCACTGAGGTGAGATCCATGAGGTTTCCTTTTACTAATACTTTGGCCATTTTAGCATTTCTGATCGTGCCTGCGTTTCTGTCATTTCCAGAGATTTAATCAAGTGGTGCGAACGAATTAATGGTTTGTCTTCGTATGACAACAATATGATTTATCAAGAGGTCTCGTTCTTGAAGTTATGCTTTTCTGATTTGCTTAGTTTAATCTTTATCTTCATATTTGACATTTTGGCGCTTTGTCTCAGGCAGCTGATATATTCTCTGCTTCTTATATGTCCTCTCAAAACCGGATGACTGTTAGTCGAATTATTGCTAGCATTTGGAATGTTCCTGTTTCTGAGGTTCAGTATAAGCCTACAATTCAGGTACCTAGTCTTCTGGATTGTCTTGACTTGCATCTTGCCAGATTCTTTTCCTAATTGTGTGATAAACTGCAGGATTTTTCTGGAATTCTGAAAATTGGAAGAGTTTCTCTTGAACGTGGTGAAACTGCGGTGGGTTTAAGCATGTGTTTCTTTATAACACCAAAATTCATCAATGGAATCTTCTCATGGTCTGTTCTTTTTGTTGCAGTCACATGATAGGTCGAGATTTGTTGAAACACGCATCTCTATGCACTTGCTCGAGAAAATAGCTCGATCTGTTGAGTGTAATGAGCCAGTTCTCTTAGTTGGGGAAACTGGTACAGGGAAAACAACATTGGTGCAAAATCTGGCTTCGTGGTTGGGGCAGAAACTCACTGTTCTGGTGTGTTGCGGAGGATATTAATTTTTTGTGACTTGTTAATCCTTGTAGTTTCCATGATGGTTATCTAATATTTTGTACTGTCCTTATAATCTTCCCGCAGAACTTGAGCCAGCAAAGTGATATAGTGGATCTGTTAGGTGGTTTTAAGCCTATCAATGCAAAACTCATGTGCACATCTCTGTACAATGAATTCAATAAATTGGCAAGACTATCAAGGATGAAGGTAGCTTCAAACCTAGGTTTAAAATCTTTTACTTTGCCTTTTGTACTTCTAATAAATCATTTTCCTTGTTGGTATCCAGGATGATTCAGGAATCATGAAATGGCTGCAAAAACGTTTTAGGGCCAGGAACTGGGAAACATTTCTGAGTGGATTGAAGAAAACTATTGATTACCACACTGGAGACAATAATGAAAAAAAAAGGTTTGGATCTTGTAGGAAAAGGAAGAAACAAGATGGGATTAAAGATTGGGTTGCTCTTTCAGGCAAAGTAGAAAAAATTCGTCAGCAGATTTGCTCAGGTGGAATGGTATTTACCTTTGTGGAAGGTGCTTTTATAACAGCTCTCAGAGAAGGACATTGGATTTTACTGGATGAGGTCAACTTAGCCCCGCGTGAGATATTGGGCAGACTTGCTGGTGTTCTTGAAGGGGCAAGAGGTTCGCTTTGTCTTGCTGAAAGAGGGGATGTCAAGGGCATTATGAGACATTTGAATTTCCGTATATTTGCTTGTATGAATCCAGCCACAGATGCTGGTAAACGAGAGTTGCCGTTCTCCTTCCGCAACAGATTTACAGAGTATGTTGTTGATGATGAATTGTGTGATGATGACCTGGGTATTTTTGTGAGGCGGTTTTTAGCTGGACGCGGATCTGATAGCAAGTTAGTCAGTAACATTGTTTGCTTTTACAAGGAAGCTAAAAGGTTATCTGAAGAAAACTTGCAAGATGGTGCAAATCAGAAACCACAGTATAGCTTGAGATCTCTTTACCGTGCACTTGAGTATGCCAGAAAAGCAGAAAGCATTGCTGGATTTGAAAAGGCATTATTTGATGGATTTTCCATGTTTTTCCTCTCTCTCTTGGACGCTTCTAGTGCTAAGATCATGAACCACATGATTATAAAACACATCTTACGGAAACATAGTTCTCCAGTTTCATCCTTTTGTCCCAGCACCTACTTGGGAGAACTATGTCATGAATCCAGCTCTGATGAATTTGTGAAGAACTATGTCATGACAAAGACTGTAAAGAAGCATCTTGACCATCTGATGCATGCCATTTTTATTAAAAAGTATCCTGTTCTTTTACAAGGACCAACATCCAGTGGGAAAACAAGCCTTGTCAGATATCTAGCAGCATTAAGCGGGCACACGTTTGTCCGAATCAATAATCATGAGCACACAGATATCCAAGAATATTTGGGCTCCTATATGACCGATTCCTCTGGGAAGCTCATATTTCATGAAGGTGCATTAGTGAAGGCTGTTAGGAACGGGCACTGGATAGTCTTAGATGAACTCAATTTGGCCCCGTCTGATGTTCTGGAGGCACTTAACAGATTGCTTGACGATAATAGAGAACTTTTTGTGCCTGAACTGGGCGAGGCGATTTCAGCACATCCTCATTTCATGCTTTTTGCTACCCAGAATCCACCTACACTATATGGTGGACGCAAAATGCTTTCGCGTGCTTTTCGTAACCGGTTTGTGGAGATCCATGTTGATGAAATTCCAGAAGATGAACTCAGTATAATTCTTAAAGAGAGGTGCCACATTGCTGAAACCCATGCTTTGAAAATGGTTGAAGTGATGAAGGACTTGCAACTACATAGGCAAAATAGCAAAGCTTTTGCTGGAAAACATGGATACATAACGCCTAGAGATTTATTCCGATGGGCTGATCGTTTTAGGATTTTTGGAAAAGGTAATGAAGATATAGCCAGAGAAGGGTATTACCTTCTTGCAGAGAGGCTGCGGGATGACGCAGAGAAGCAAGTTGTTCAAGAGGTTTTGGAGAGACATCTTCGTGTTGCTCTTGCTGAAGACGTCTTATACAAAAGAGTGAGTTTTGTTTTCTCTTTTAAAGATACGGGTTGGATTAGTATTAAAAGCTTTTTGAGATCATTTGTCTAATAGTATGTCGTGCAATTAATTTTGCATACCAATTGAAAAATGCTGCTTAAATTGTTTTTGCTTCTTAGTGATGTGTTGTCTTCTGGCGCTGCAAGTGACTTTTATTTTTTTAATTTTTTTATTTTCATGTCTGGTCTTCTAAATGTATTTATATTATTTAAAGGAGCTGTCACTGTGAGTTTGATTTTATGAAAATTTTTGCTTTTTGTACTTTCAAGTCCACTAACATTCTTTCCAATAGGTGGTATTTTAATTGCTCAGTTGATCTACTGCATCGTTACCGCATTTGCAAGTCGTACTTTTTATCCTGTTGTAGTTCGCAATTTTCTGTTCTTATATGCCTCTTTTCTTTTTCACAGGATATGTTTGGTTTGGATAAATCACTTCGTTTGAGAGATATCATGTAAATACTCATTCCCTCCTGAACCGTTCGTTTACTGAGTATTTTTGTTTTCCAGTTTTTTAATTTGATCTTCACTGGCTCTGACTGAATTTCTTATGCTACTTGTCCTATTTTGTTATACAGGCAGAGTAGAGCTGTCACCTGGACTAAAAATATGTGGAGATTGTTTTTTCTTATTAGGCGTTGCTATGAACTGCGTGAGCCTGTTCTTCTTGTTGGTGAAACTGGAGGAGGCAAAACAACCATCTGCCAATTGCTTAGCCATGCTCTGGGGCTAAGATTGCACATTCTTAATTGTCATCAATTCACGGAAACTTCTGATTTCCTTGGTGTAAGCTTTTTCTTTTTAATCTAACGCTTATGAAAATCTTTACTTTTTTTCTTGTTTGATGCTCATGCATTTTTTTTTTAACTCAGTGATTAATGACCATCTTTGTTAGGGGTTCTTTCCTGTCCGGGATAGATCTAAATTAGCTGCTGAATACGAAAACCTTGTCAAGAAGTTGAAGCTCTCCAAAGCATTGACTCAGCTTGACCAAGAAATTGTAAGTATTCTGGCATTTATTTTTGTATACTGGTGTTTCACTATGTTTTCTTCTCTAATTGGAGAGCGTATCATCTTTAACATTTTATGTACAGGACATTTCCGCTGATATTAATGATGCAGAGTTGTCAATTAAAGCATTGGATGCAGTTCTCGAAAAGTACAGAAATGATTTGACGATGGATACAGGTATCCGGCAGCCAGATTTTGATGCTTTTGTGAAAATGAAGAACGATCTGGTTGTGTTGTATCAGAAGTGGCGTGCAGTCTTTGTTTGGCAAGATGGGCCCCTTGTGCAAGCTATGCGAGCTGGTGATCTCTTATTAGTGGATGAGATATCTTTGGCTGATGATAGTGTGCTAGAGAGACTGAATAGTGTGTTGGAGCCTGAGAGGAAATTGGTAAGTAGTTTCTTATAATGAGTGTTGATGCTACCACCTTTGCCCTCCTGCATATAGTATTGTTGGCTTGCACAATGTTACTGAATAAGATCTGCACCGGTTTCTTACCCTTGTGATCATATGTTGTTATATTAACCGGTATTCATATTTTCATCGTAAAGCCAATCCTCAACATTATTATCGTTTCCACTCCTTCCCATTTTTTGTTTTTAGATTTCTTCATATTTCTGTATGTTTGGTTTTCCATTCACATGTTATGGTATTCTTTTTATCAATGCAGTCTTTAGCTGAGAAAGGTGGCCCTGAATTGGAGGAAGTCGCTGCCCATGAAAGCTTTTTGGTTCTTGCTACTATGAATCCTGGTGGTGATTATGGAAAGAAAGAATTGTCTCCGGCACTTCGCAACCGATTTACTGAGATATGGGTTCCCCCTATTAGTGATATCGATGAACTTACAAGTATTGCACTTTCTAGGTATGTCATTTTCCTCATATGCTAATGGTATTGTCTTTTTATATATAATCTGTTTGCTATATTAGGAAAATTCTCTTCTTTGCAGCCTTTCAGAACCAAAGGATCCTAAAATTGTAGGTCCCATTGTGAACTTTTGGGAGGTATGTAGCACTCTTCTTTTCTTTCAAATTCCCCTTCCTACATTAGAGCTGTAATACAAGCCTGATACTTGATCTTGGAGGTTTATAATAAATATAATCTTACAATCCATTAAATGGGTTAGTGTTGACAATGCGCTTTACGTGTTTGATTTATCAGCATCGTAATCATTAGTTTCTTTTCTCTTGGCGTCTTAATGCTGTTTTTGTTTAAAGATTATTTGATTGCTTACTTTAGCATCTTAAAACTATTTAACATTTTTTTAACCCTATTGGAGGTTTTTTTATTGGAGTAGCAATAAGTTCCATTGACATCTGAATGATCTGTTCCTGCTGCAATTATAGGTCTTTGTGTGTCGTTCTTTTTCTCTTCTCCCTATTCTTTTATCACTAAGCGCAATATCCTTTTTCTGTTTCCTGGTAGCAGTATTTTGTCAAGATAGGTTTCTATGTTACAGATTATGTACTTATGATTTTTTTCAGTCTATTAATTTTTGAACTTTTTCTGCTGCAGTGGTTCAATCGATTGCAGATTGGGAGAATGCTCACAGTCAGAGATCTCCTCTCTTGGATTTCTTTTGTCAATGTCACTAGAGAAAACTTAGGACCTGTATATGCTATTTCTCATGGGGCATTTCTCGTGGTACTTGATGGTTTAAGTTTAGGTTTGTCCCCGCCACAATTCGGAATATCGTAAATTATCTTTTTGAATTTGCTTTTTCAAGTCTTATCCTTCTCTTCAGGAAAATAGTTGATATGCACCTGATGTGCATGGCTTACATAAGACCTCTTTAATCTTCTGCATACATGCTCATAAGCCTAATGTGTCTATAGCTTGTGTTGTATATGTTAACTGAATCTTATGGATCTCTATGTCGAAACTTAAAAAATGGCAGACGTAATGTGTTTGGTTCATTCTGTCTTACAACTTTCGTGTTTTGGTTTTCCAAGGAACTGGTTTTTCTAAGAGAGATGGGGAAGAGCTGAGGGAAAAATGTTTCTTGTTTCTTTCTGAACAGTTAAAGGTATGTTTTGTCTTGGTACCTAAATACTTCTGTTTTCGTTTTCCATTTTCCCATCTCATGTTATTATAGGAGCTAGGATATTTATTTCCCAATATATGGGCACAAAATGAAAAATCTTAAGCGGCGTTGGATAATGTACAGTGATGCACACATGTTCATAGGGTGTCCATGTGTAAAATTTCTGTGATGCTCCTGGTTTGATTTTATATATCTCACGTTCCTGCTACTCCTGTATACTGTCCTTACACAGGTTTTTGCTAGTGATACATTACCTTCAGAACTTTCCAAACTGGAGCAATATGGCTGGGGTGATTGTGAAACAGTTTATCAGGGAAATAAGAGTGTTTTACGTGGGGATATGTTTGGTATTGATCCTTTTTACATCAGAAAAGGTGAGCTAGCTTCTGGTCATAGTATCCCTGCAAAAAATCTGCATATTTTATATGGCATGCTTGATTGAAACATTCCATTCAAGTCATGAGATCTGTCTTCCTAGTCTATTTCACTCTGTCTGGTTTAGTTCTTGACATTGCAAAAGATCTTATTTTCTTGTTATATTTTTTGCAACTTGTGCATTGTCTGCTCAGGTGATGAGAATACCGAGACTGGAGGATTTGAATTTTTAGCTCCAACAACTCGTAAAAATGCCTTGAGGGTATTGCGTGCAATGCAGCTTTCTAAACCTAGTATGTCAGTTTTTATTGTCTTTCTTCTTCTTGCATTTTGAAAATTGTTAGATTTTAAATTGGATTATTTTGTTTTTGTAGTTTTGTTAGAAGGCAGCCCAGGCGTAGGAAAAACAAGTTTAATTATGGCGGTGGGTAAATATTCTGGCCACAAGGTGGTGCGCATAAATCTATCAGAGCAGGTTTGCTTACCTCTGCCAAAAATCAGTTATCTGTGCTATTCTGTTAACCGGGTAATATAGCTTCAGTTGCTTTGGTGCAGACTGATATGATGGATTTGCTGGGTTCAGATTTGCCAGCCGAAAGTGATAAAGAGATGAAGTTTGCATGGTCTGATGGAATCCTCTTGCAGGTGAAAGAATACTTGACATTGATGTACTGTTTATGAATATTGCATATTCTCAACTATCTTATTTTCATAGGCGTTAAAGCAAGGCTCCTGGGTTTTGTTAGATGAACTTAACCTTGCCCCACAATCTGTTCTGGAGGTGAGCCTTTAGTCTGCCAGTTTTTTTTTCATTACATTGTTCCCATAGTACAGCATGTTTGAATCTTTAGTTTATATGTGGAGACTACCTAGTAAAGGTTGCTAAGCACAAGACATCTCTTCAGGGTTTGAATGCGATTTTGGATCATCGCGCTCAGGTCTTCATTCCAGAACTTGGTCGTACTTTTGAATGTCCTCCTACTTTTAGAGTTTTTGCATGCCAGAATCCTTCTTCTCAAGGCGGTGGCAGAAAAGGTCTTCCAAAATCTTTCCTTAACCGATTTGCCAAGGTACAGTTTCCCTATGTTCGTGGATGACATGTGCGTGCCTTGATATGTTTCATATTATTCAATTGAAAATACCTACTGTCCCTCTTTTTATTGGATTCAGGTTTATGTGGACGAGCTGGTGGAAGATGATTACTTTTTCATCTGTAGCTCACTTTACCCATCTATTCCCCGGCCTTTGCTTTCTAAGCTTATTACTTTTAATAGACGGTTGCATGACGATACAATGCTAAGTCGTAAGTTCGGTCAGAATGGTTCACCTTGGGAATTCAATCTGCGTGATGTGATTAGATCCTGCCAAGTTGTGCAAGGTAGATGCATGTGTTGCTCATTTTTTTTCCAATTTAATTGTTTTGGTCGGTCCCCAGATCACGGTTTGGTTATAGACTAAATGCAGTTTTCTTTGTCGTCTTCAGGGGCAGTGAACGACATTGAAATTGACAACTTTCTGAATGTTGTTTATGTTCAAAGAATGCGTACTGCAAATGATCGCAAAGAAGTTCTTAGTATCTATGAGGGGATTTTTGATCGAAAACCTTCGATAAACAGTTATCCTCGAGTTCAGCTGAATTCTTCCTACTTAATTGTTGGAAGTGCTTCTATTAAAAGGAACTTCACTCAGTCAAACATTTCGAGTGAGCAACTGAAGATTTTGCCTGAAATCCGTCAGAACTTGGAGGCTGTTGCACATTGTGTGCGGAATCAATGGCTGTGCATTCTAGTAGGACCATCATCATCTGGGAAAACTTCACTGATCAGAATATTAGCTCAGCTAACAGGATATGCTCTTAATGAGCTAAATCTCTCATCTGCCACTGACATTTCTGATTTACTTGGGTGCTTTGAGCAATATAATGCCTTCCGAACTTTCAGGTTGATTGTTGCTCGAGTTGAGCACCTTCTTAATGAGTATAGCAGCTGGTTATTGGAATCTTCCTCAGAGACCTTCTTAAGTGAAAGGAACAACTTAGTTTCCAGCTGGCTTTCTTTTTTATCTACTCTAAACTCCTGCCTCCTGGAAGGTTCTCCATCCTTCCTGAAGGACTCTTATAGCCTTTCTGACTCACTCTCTAAGTTAATGGAGATTATAGCTCTTCTAAAGCAGGCAGTGGATGAAGGCGCTTTGCATGCTAGTTGCTCAAAGAAGAATCTGGACCAAATCGTGAAGACAATATTGAAGCTGCAAACTTACGAGAAAAAGCCGACAACAAGATTTGAATGGGTGACTGGTATGCTGATAAAGGCTATAGAAAATGGAGAATGGATTATCCTAGAGAATGCAAATCTGTGTAATCCCACGGTAAGATAGTTTTGGTGGTTCTTTTCAGCTTCTTATATCCTACTATAATTTCACTTTTTGTTGCTTTATACATGCATGCCATTTTACACTTTCCTGCTTGCTATACATAATTGGTTCAATTTTAGCTTCACATGGTGGATAACTGTTGTGGTTAACTTGTTTGTCAGGTACTTGATAGAATCAACTCTTTGGTTGAACCGTGTGGATCAATCACCATAAATGAGTGTGGAATTATTGACGGTGAACCCCTTACTGTCACCCCGCATCCAAATTTCAGGTTGTTCCTTACTGTTAACCCAAATTTTGGTGAAGTATCAAGAGCAATGCGGAATAGAGGTGTTGAAATATTTATGATGGAGCCAGATTGGCAACTGGATGATGAGGTTGTTGACAGCGAAGAACTTTTAGTGAGAGGTGTTGAGAGGTTTCTTGCTTTATCAGGCATACCAGGTTACAAGTTGGTGGCTTCAATGGCCAAAGCACATGTTTATGCATGGTGTAAAGGTCAATGCTTTAATGCACGGATTACATATCTTGAACTTGAACAATGGGTTAACTTATTTCAACAGCTGCTCATGAATGGCAATCAACCTCTACGGAGCCTACGACTAAGTTGGGAGCATATCTATCTTTCATCCCTTGGTGAAGATGATGGAAAAGAAGTAGTTGATGATGCTCGTGATGCTTATTTGTCAGAGATAGAGCTGTCTGATTTTATTTCATCTATGGGCCAGGGTCTTTGCTTGCCTGGGGGATGGCCAAAGCCTCTTAACTTGAGAGATTTCACAAGGTATTCAAGAGAAGTTACTGTCAGGCAGAATTGCATGTACCTGGAGTTCTTAGGGGCTCAGCATGCATCTCATGAATCTGATATAACCTGCAACCGGAGATTCATAGACAGAGAGTTTGCTGCTGGTGAATTGAGAACAATTTATACAATTGATTCTTCGAGATTAAGAAAGCTCATGTTTCCTAAAGCTGCCAGTGGATCTACTTGTGTGGAAAATGCACCTAAAACTAAGCTGGATTCAGTTTTAAAAATGCTGTTATACGCTGCCAACTGGGCAATTGAGCAGGCAACTGAAATGGATATTCAACTCTATCTTCGCTGGTTTACATGGTTTGATTCCAAGTTGCAGCCATACTGTCCGTTTTTCCAGTTCTTTGTCAGTATGCTCAAGGAGGAGTTGGAGCATCCAATCTGGTGTCATATACTTAGATGCCGACAGGACCTAATGTCCCTCTGCCAGATGGATTGTGATGCTAGTCCTAACCCCATGCTGTCCTTAAAGCTGATTGATGTAGCTGCATCGTATGGCCAGCCCAATGAATCTAGTAAATGTCTCTTTGATTGTCTCAACTCCACTGGGGTTCTTCGGCTTTCCTATCAGCAGTGGTTTGCGGAAAGAAACTATAATCACACCGATGTATCTCTGTCATTTGTAACATTTCTGAAATCCCTTCAAAGACTGGAGAAGAAACTGCTAAACATGCTTGTTGGATCTCATGATTTTAGCGTGTTGATTCAACTCTACACCCAACTTATTGAAAAGCATGCACTCTTTTGGTCTGCTTTGGTCTCCTCACAAAATGAGAATTTAGTGTATTCCTTCCGGTCTGTGATAAAAGCTGTTAAAAATTTACTGGGCTCTTTTCCTGAAGAAGTTCAGGTGGTCCTGGTAAGCTCATCTTCAGTTTTGCCCTATACCTTTTTCTTTAGATTATTATTATGGCGTAGCTTTTAAAATCATTTTGTTCTTTTGTAGGATGAAAGCAAAAATATGAACAAGATATATTTGCATGGTCACACTGAAAAATCATTGCTATGGGCACATGGTGGTCATCCTTCCATGCCAGGTTCTGCAGAACTGTACAATAAGCAGCAGGAACTTCTGAAATTGTGTGACACCGTTTGGCGAGTGAGATTAGAATCAGATTATCGAGGTTGAATTTCTCGACTTTCTGGTATTAACTTTTTTATTGTTGTTTTTTCTTAGAAACTTTCTGCTAACGGTTGATGCTTGATGGCAGGGAATGATTATTTTACCCGAGTTATGGCGTTCTGTTGTCCTGAAATTTGTTCTCTTGCCTTGCAAGGTACATTTTCTGTAATGCTTTGCTTCATATTTTGGTTTCTTAGTTTTGCATTGTGCTACTCATGTAGTGTAACAGTCAGATAGAATTTTCAGCTACAATTGTCCATAGTCATGTTTTCAAAAACATATGAGTGACTCATGTGATTTAAATTGTAATTTTTTGAAACCAAGATGATAAGCAATCGAGGCATGATCCTTTGGTGCTTCAAAAACAGTACAAGATGTCATAGTTTGCTAACATGGACATTCGTCATATGCATTAGACACAGAAAATTGGATAAGCGTATATTTTTGGGAGCTTTGATTCTCTTGTTGTATCTGTAATGTGTAACATGCCTGGAGCAGATGCAAATATCAAAATTTTCTTGTATGGGGATATATTATTGCCGTGTTTGTTTTGTCATTTTCTTGAAGATCCTTGTTTATTTAACAGAAATGAAAGAATATGAATTTTAAATCCTAATCCATGAAGAAATATGCTGCATGGGAAAAAAATTTGTAATATGTAATTGTCTCGCTTGGTAATATGTAACCTCATCGTTTTCTTTGTTTTCCCCCCTTCCAAAATGTATAGGCCTTTGCATGTCATCATATATCACTGACAAAGATGATGAAGACAATATGGCTGCTGTTCAGTTGGATGAGATATACCAGGTTTGTATTCTCGTATGCCTGTAGCCTTAATTGTGGAATATTCGTATCTGTTACTCACCAGGTTGACCTTCGTCACCCAGATGCTTTTGAGAAGGCTGAAATTTGAAAGAGAAAGGCTGGACGCTGGGAATGATAGCCTTGAAAAATCTTCTGCTGCTTGCTGTGTTTTACTCCCAGAGATTTTGGCTACTGGATCTGGTTATGGCAGTTGGTTACAAACGAATCTTCTTGCGTGCAGTGAAAGTTTTTATTTAGATGTGGAGTTACTTAATGTACTTCAAAACCTTCTGCTGGTCCATTCCACCATGCCCTCAGGGTTACAGCAGGTCCGTGTATGAATGGAATTTCCTCCTTTTGTTCATGTGCTCAAGTTGTTTCTAAGACTCCACGGTATAAAGTTGGGGATAGTTATTGTGCACATGTTATTCCAGACTTGTTGAGAAAATTCAGACATACTTCTATCAGTCAATTTGTACTACCAGCCTCTGTCTTGGGCTTTGGACGAACTGGACTTTCACTAGGGTTTTTATATACATCTATCTGCCACAGTTATCTATTTCTTTAAATATCCAGGTGCTATTCCTCATTACTTACTATTTAATTACGTACAGGATCTTGAGAACATTTCAAGGCTGCTTGAGTGTGCTCTAAGTTATTCATTATCCTCTTCAAGGCCTCCACAAACTCTTGTGGCTCATCAAAAAATCCTATGGACAATTGATGCACACAGCTCTACAGTAGGAGGTAATAGAGTTTTATAGACTATTATTTTCTTTGCTCCAAAGCGAACTGGCTCATCATCTTTGGTTGTGTTGCAGTGGACACCAAAATTGCTGGTTCTGTTCTTGAAATGTGGTATTGGTGGCATTCAGTTCTGTGGAATCATAATCAATTCCCTCTCATGGTATTGAATAAACCAATTAAGTGTTTTTTTTTATTTTTCAGTTAGACTGTGAACTATGTGTTATCTTTCTATCATCCTCTGTTTATGGGCCTGCAGAATATCTCAGAGATCGATGGTTATTGCATTCCACTGCCTTCTATGCTGATTCAGCCAGCGAAAACAGTTACTGTTTCTCAGATGCTGTAAGAAACTTGTTTCCATTGTGGTGTTTGAGACCTTTTTTGTTTAGCCGTTTCTAAGTCTGACAAGTGACAAATAGTGGCGTGTTTCCAGTCAGGTGTTCTTCTTGACTGATGTGTAGATAAACCTAATATTGGTTCTCGATTTCGAGTTGTCTTTATGATTACTGCCTTGTTCTGCTGCTATCATTGCTTAATCTCCAGGATAACACATGATAGCACCTTATTAGTGCTCTATCTCTTAAATGGTGGAAATTTGTGGTCATGGATGTTGAAGTTTCTTTCAAAATTATTTAATTGCAGGCAAAGTGTATATGCCATCAAGGATTACCATGTTCAATCAACCAAGTTTAGATTTGCTTCCCGAACTCTATGGAAAAGCTCACAGCCCAAGCAAGAGATGCCTGCGTTTCTGTTATCAATTGCACGGTCTCTCTTCCAACAGGTATTAGAAATGTGAGCTTTGAATAATTCTTTTTTGATTTCTCTGCCCTCTGTGATATTTATCTTATTTCTGGCCCTGTAGGTTATATGCACACACAAAAAGTCATTTGAGCCGGGCAAATTTGCGGCAATTAGCTCCACTCTTCAGGCCGTTGAGAATAACCCAGACAAGGTTTGCTTCCATGAAGTTACATGCTTTTTCCACCAGGATAATTCCATTTTGCAATAGGCTATTTAATAGTTTAGATTCTTTAACATGTCTGTCTGAGTAATTAAGTTTTTTCCACTTTTTGACTAGTTGGATAGACAGCTCCTGATCTCATTGATTGAGTCAACAAGTCATCAGAGGTTGAAGTCTCTAACTCACTCATTTGTTGATACATTGATTCAGCATCTCTATCTTGATTGCTCATCAAATGGTAATTTATTCAATTTATATATATTAAAATAGTTTGAGCTTTCATATGGACATCTCTCTCTTCTTTGGTCAGATTTTTTTTAATGTTAATGCATCTTTGTAGATTTCTACTTCAATCTTGGCTTAACCTGGTTAAATCTTGGAGGACTTCGTTTCCATCTTTTGCATAGCTTTGATGCTATAGATCCAGCCACAAAGATCACATGCAAACTATCCGAACTAGAAGAGAAAATTTCATCCCTTGAGCTAAACATGAAGGTGGATGCTCTGTTTTCATCTTGTTGATTGAATAGCTATTCCGCATTTTGTGTCACTGTATTATTGAAGATATTAAATATTATTGCAGGTTCGGGAAGAATGTGAGTATCTCGCAGGATCACTTTATCCTGGAGAAAGTTACAAAAGAATCAAACAAACATTAGAAGGCCTCGTTACTGAGCATAAAAGGCTGCAAAGGAAGGTCAATATGAGCTACTGTACTTTTTTCTTTCTCTTTCAGAAATTATCATGCCGTTTGTGTGATTCTAATTATTCACAATTGATCTGTCCATGTTTTCATGGTCACATTTTTCCTTTTTAATCAGATTGTTTTTCGCCCTGATCCTAAAAAGTACAAGGAGTTAAGTCGAGAGCTCAACGAGTTTGCAAGATTTGTTAACCCTGTACATCTTGTCGATAATATTAAAAAACGGGTCTGGAATCAGGTCATTGGCCAGGTTTGCACCTGGCAGGTATGTCTGGTCTATATATATGATTGTCATTCATATTTTGTATTCACCTCTCATTATCCATTTTCAAAATCTTAAATGTTTGGATTCTGTAGGATACAGCAGCTTCGTTTATCGATCGACTATCCAATGAGTATTCTGAATATATGGATATAACTCAGCCGGTTCAAGTTGCAGTGTATGAGATGAAATTGGGTTTAGCTCTCATTGTCTCTGGAGCTTTTTTGGAAAATATTCTCAATAAAGTTGGGATAGAGAAGGTTGATTCAGTCATGGTAATTTCTCTCTTGATCTCGGCAAATTTTTTATGGTTTATTTTGTGTGGATAAAAGTATTAACTTCCTGAGTCTGGCAGGGAGCAATTTATGCTCTAATGAGATTTCCAAGAGGTTGCTCCTCAGCTCCATTTATCAATCACAAGAGTTCGCCGTTTCTGCACCTTTCTCATGGTGCAGATTCTCGTGCAATATCCTTAGGTTTGGATGTCAGTTTACTGCAGAAATTGATCTCTGTTTCAAATTCAGAAGATGCTGGAAAAGTAATGTTTCATCTGATATTTTCCAAAGTTATTATTTTAGTTCTATATCTGGCTTTCACATAACCATTACGTTTTTAAATGAAGATTGCCATTGTTAAATTCTTTTGAAGAGTTGAATTCTTGTGTCTTTCCATTGTGCTTCGACCTGTTCTTAGGTGTCTCAGTTGCAACTCAAGGTTGTTCTCTACAAAGACCTTCACTTTCGTATTTCACAATTTGTAGCAAATGCAAAGATAATGGATAAAGATTCATTTGAGGTAATTGTTCTACTCTTACTTGTACATATATGGAAGTGTTAAGGAGACTGATGTTGCAAGGCTCTCTTCTGTAGTTACTACATAAGATATATCTTGAACTGGCAAGCATTTGGATGGAAATGAAGTTTCAAGCAGAATCCAAAGCAGATTCTATTTCTCAGCTGTACAAGTTCCGTGTTCGTGACTTTAAAATCGAAAGTGTGATGGAAGTGGATATATCTGGTCTGAGCAAGCATTTAGCAAATGATAGTTTCTCGGAATGGCAAGAGTTTTTGGCTGATGGAGATTCAAATTACACAGTAATCCTTTATACTGATGCTCTAACGATACCTTGTAAATTCTCTTCTTTAGTCATTTAATTTTCATTTTCATTTTCATTTCCACAGACTCAAACGGATCAGGAGGAGGAAAACCTAGAGGATGAGTGGAATCTGATGCAGGAGCATCTGGATGATATATTTAGCTCCCACAATGAATTATTTGGTTCTCTCAACCTCTGTGGAAAGGTAAGTTGGGAGCAATTGGATATATCCTTTTTTATAGTATACATCATTCTTAGGCCGATTTGGAATTTTCCTACTTTTAACTTACGAATAAATCTTCTATACAGCCTGAAAGGTTCTGTATGACAGACAACAGAAGACTGGGTTCCTTCAAGGATTCCTATGAACTTGGAATCAGTGTGATCAAAGGTGACCTTTCAACATTGTCTTGTTGTCAGCCATGCTCTATTATTATTCCTAGACTAAGCTTTCAATCTGTTTATTCCGTTTTAGACTATATATTACTGGATATTTCTGGTTCCCAGGTCTAAGGGGCTTATTTACTTCAAGTGTGGACGCGAGACTCGTACCAGAACACCTTCTTCGTCTCTGCTTAGAGTATAAGCGAAATTTCACTTCACCCCATCAATTTGCCAGTAAATTTAACTTTTACAAGGTTTGTTAAGCTTTTACTTACTGAGGAGCGTACACCTATTCTTACTTTTACAATTTGCTCGCATTTATGTTCTAGTTGCATCTTATATAGGATTCAAATCCTCTGGAACTGGGAAAGATGGTCCAGTTGCTCACTGGACTTCAGATGAGAATCTGTTCTCTCTTGCAAGAACAGGAGGATCATACTGGACTTCACAAACTCTCTGATGTTCTTCAAATGCTCTTGGATATCCCTTCAAGTACTCCTCTAGCTAAGGTATTTTTATCTATACTAATTGATCTGGCTATAGCTAGAGGGTATTCTGTCGATCAGCCAGGAAGCAACTGGCTGACAATTATGTTTTTAGAGTTTGCGGAAATTAAATGTAGTTGGCCTATCTGGTTCACAAAATTACTTGGAGACAAGAAGGACAAGGTAATGTTCCTTCTGCAAGAATATGGAACAAACTCTCTGAAATTGTGGCAGAAATTAGCTATAGGGGATTTAACTATCTTGTTGATTCATCTTAATTAATTGACTATCTTGTTGATTGCAACTGTTTGTGAAGGCTCTTTCGGGATTGCAGTTCCTGCTGTGTAGGGTCCGCATGCTGCAGGAAGAAGGCTGTAAATTCTCCATTTCTGGTAGGGGATTTAACCTTCTACACCATATAAATTATGAAATCTGTCGTTAAATTGGTCGTTGTTTTTCTTGTAGGTCTGTTGGAACCAGTAACTGCTCTTGCAAGCTCATGGCAGAAAATGGAATTTGAGTGTTGGCCTACATTACTCGATGAGGTTCAAGATCAATATGAAATAAATTCTGGGAAGGTACGTATAGTTAGGAAATTTCTATGGTGAAAAAAAGAAAGTATGTCCAAGGAAAACTGAAGGATGGTTTTCTTGTTGCAGTTGTGGCTTCCTCTGTTTACAGTTCTGTTTCAGAAGGACTCCGGTAGTATTTCAGAGAATGAAACCGAGTTTATTACACAGAGGTCTGTCCCAAACCTTTTAGGTTACTTATTCACAAATTTTTCTTTCAAGAATTCGACCATCTAAAAGAGATTGGTGTTGCAGTTTGGTCGAGTTCATCGAAACGTCCAACATTTGCGAATTTAGGAAACGCCTTCAGCTTCTTTTTGGTTTCCTTGTTCATTTAAGTATGGGTTGCTCGCTGGGGATATATTCAAGGTCAGTTGCAGATGAGCTATGATTTGATGTTTATTGTTCCTATCTTAAATATTGAAGGAGCCTCGGCATCAATTGCCTGAGATACTTGGGATACTTGCAGTTTATTATACTTCCACATTTGATATTTGATAACCTAATTGTGATTGCTTTCTGCATTGAAAATCCGTCGTGCTTAATTATAACTTTCTAATTTGGCAGTGATTTTCATAAGAGGAACCTGGAAATTTGCTACAACCTTTTTGGATTTTACATCCAGTTCCTCCCGGTGTAAGTTCTTTTAGTATTCTGTCTTGTGTATCTTCTGTTCATGGTTGTCTCGCATCATTTAGAATTCTCACTGTAAATTTCTTTTCCAGTGTAATGAATCAGATTGAATCAAATAGAAGAAATGTTGAGACCGAGTTAAATGAGCTTCTGAAACTGTGTAAATGGGAAAAGCTAGAAAGTTATCTGTCTATTGAGACCATTAAAAAAGCCATCACAAATCAAATGGTAAAGCTATTACTGAAGAACTTTGATACACTTAAGGAGTTGGAGGAGCAATATTCCAGTTTCCATAGAGAAGGCATGGGCAAAAGTTGTGTCAGAGATGTTCTTCTAAGTCATTTTGATCCAGTGTTTGAAGAGGTACAACTTTCTGTTTTTCAAGTTCTATAGATTTAGTTTATTGAAATTTATTCTGTACTCCAGAAAACTAGTGTGTTCATGCAAATATATCCAATGCTAGGAATTGGTCACTTTTTGGCTTCAGGACTGTGAGATTAACAGAAATGGTATTTTTGCAGGGGAAATTGCTGGCGAAGCAGCTAAATTGTATACTTGAGGTGGAAGAGCAATCTACTGGAATTGAGTTTAAGGAACAAACTGCTTTTGATGGAGTTCTTGCCAGTACATTTGGAAGTATCAAGTGTGTTCTCCGAAAGCTTTGTTCGTACAAGGACAAAAGTGGTTCTCAAGAACAAGGGAATATTACTGCATGGAATTGTGTAGTCAAGAAAGCAGAAAATGACCTGGACCTTGATAACCTATGTTGTCTGCTTTCACAAACACTTTCCCTGGTAGTTACTGAAGCATATAAGTTCTATTTACTTTGGTATTTTGGTGGAGATCAAAACTTGACTGAATTCTAGCTGTTGCGTTCATTCTCAAAGCTTTCTGAACGGCATTGTTGTTCTCGAACAGGACATGTTAAGGCAGACTGTAATGCTTGTTAAGCAAGAGTTTCCGCAGCAAGGAGTTCAACTTCTGCCTCAATTGTGTCCCGAGCTTATGAATGGGGCATCCAACACGAGCACCGAGGTTCTGGCCATTGCGTTAGGAGCTCGACAAATGAATAAAGGGGACAGGTACTCTTCTCCTCCTTCTGCCTTACTGGTGTTATATGAAAGCTGAACCCTCTAAGTTCTGTTTCAAACTTATATGATGTAGTTTGTCATGGTATTCCGTCTGGAGGAATAAATTAAATGAAGCTGTGGGGGTCTCTCGCGATCAATTGCAGCTTGAAACAAGATCTCTGATGGCTGAAGGTTTTTCCTTATGTTTTTCATTCTTCCTTGGTTCTATCTGAAAAGTTTATTAGTTATGCTGTGAGTTTAGCATGTTCTCAAGTTTGCATAATGTGTTTGCAGATGTTGCGAGTGTCATAAGTCAGTTATTAGAGCACCAATCTTCTTACTCCATCTATCAGGATGATTGGAAAAATGTGTGGAGTACAATTGCTAGGGTTGGTGGCAGGATAATTGGTTGCGCAGATCTATGGAGAGACGATGACAGACGTGTTGGGAAAAAGAGGGCGCTGTCTGAACTTCTTAAGTTATTAGAAATTAGTGGTCTGCAGAAACACAAGTTTGAAAATGTGGAGGTAAATGTGTTGTGTTTGTTGTTTGGATTTTGTTTCTGGTTTTCAGAAACACAAGTTTGAAAATATGGAGGTAATGGTTTTGCAGATATCAAACCACTTAAAAGGAATGCTTGCACAGCCATCATATGATCCCCAACATCTGCTGTCGACAGACTCCGAAACTAGCACACATCATCCTAGGGAAGTTGAAGATCAAAACCAGAAAACTTCAGATTCTGACTGGAGAGGCGCAAATCAATTTTATTTTAAGAGCTTGGCTTCAGTGCAGCTATTGCTAGAGATTGGCCGTAAACACACAGATATTACATATGAGCAGGTAGGCTTTGCTACTGCACACCAACTTTTCTCTAGGCTTCTCTGCTTCTCAACTAAATTAGTTGTTTGTATCTTCAAACTTTTTTTTAAGGGTTCTTACAATAAATTTCTCTACATTAACAGTTTAACCGGTCAATCTCTTTCCTCAACCATCTTGTGGAAATACAAAGGGAGCAAAGAAAAGCTGCTTATTGCTTTGATGAACTTCTCAAGCGATATCGCCAACATATTTCATCTTTTGAGAAGATATTGAAAGATTCATTTGATTCTAAGTCAAGGGATAGTTCTGTGCTCAGTTTTCCTCGAAATCAACATGCTATCTTCAACTGCATGTTGCAACAGAAGGTATTTCGGCCTTATAACTTGAAAATGATGTTTGCTGAACCTCTATTGGAGCTATACTGACTTGAGCTGCTATGCCTTTTGTGATATTGCAGCAACTGTTCGATAAGCTTATTGCAATTTTGTACGATGAATCTGCATTGCTGAGAACAGTTAGAAGTGCCCACTTGAACTCTTGTCAAGATGTGAAAGCTTCATCAAGTGGTGTCCTTGACTTCACTGAAAGTTTAATTCCCATTGTTGAAAAATCTAAGGTACAGAACTTTCGGCATTGCTCTTTCAATCCTACTTAACATTTACATCCTGCAAGTATCTGAATATGTATGTCGTTAGGCATCACTGGATAGGTGCCTTGGTTGTGACGGAGCTATTACCGCACCAAGTGACTGTCCAGATCAAAAGCTTGTCACAAATCAAATGGTAAAGCTATTACTGAAGAACTTTGATACACTTAAGGAGTTGGAGGAGCAATATTCCAGTTTCCATAGAGAAGGCATGGGCAAAAGTTGTGTCAGAGATGTTCTTCTAAGTCATTTTGATCCAGTGTTTGAAGAGGTACAACTTTCTGTTTTTCAAGTTCTATAGATTTAGTTTATTGAAATTTATTCTGTACTCCAGAAAACTAGTGTGTTCATGCAAATATATCCAATGCTAGGAATTGGTCACTTTTTGGCTTCAGGACTGTGAGATTAACAGAAATGGTATTTTTGCAGGGGAAATTGCTGGCGAAGCAGCTAAATTGTATACTTGAGGTGGAAGAGCAATCTACTGGAATTGAGTTTAAGGAACAAACTGCTTTTGATGGAGTTCTTGCCAGTACATTTGGAAGTATCAAGTGTGTTCTCCGAAAGCTTTGTTCGTACAAGGACAAAAGTGGTTCTCAAGAACAAGGGAATATTACTGCATGGAATTGTGTAGTCAAGAAAGCAGAAAATGACCTGGACCTTGATAACCTATGTTGTCTGCTTTCACAAACACTTAGTTCCATTGTAAGTTGGGTTTTGTCTACTTCATGCGTTCATGTTCCAAAGATGCTTTTCCTCCTATTTTTCTTTCAAGCCCTATCTAAATAAAGTTGACTGTCTTTGCAGGAAAAAGTAGTGAACTCTTCTGGTAGCCTTCCAGCTTCTGTAGGAGAACATTTGAAGCACCTGCATGTGTTCCTTGATCTAATATTGTACTTTGGCGACTGTTTCCTTAAAGATTTTCTGGGGATGAGCAAAACGGTAAGCACTTTCTCTTGCTGCTATTTCTAACGCATCTTTGTTAAAACTGAGTGATGGGACAAGCTAGTATCTTTTTGCATACGGCTAAAAAGTCATCACGTTTACAATGAAGCGTTAGCAGATTGAAAATATTCCACGTTTACGAATGGTTTTACTTTTGAATGAAGTAACGGTGTTAATATCGCTTGAAATGAATGTTTAGCAAATATCTCATATTTGGTCGTTTGGTTGTTACTTGCTTGTAGGTGTCAATGATAACCCTTGAGCTTGCTAGTGTCTTGGCGGATCTGTTCACAAAGGGGTTCGGAGTGTCCACAAAAGATGAAGACTCTAGTGTTGACAAATCGCAAGCGGCAGCAGGTACTGGAATGGGAGAAGGTGTGGGAGGAAAAGATGTGAGCGACCAAATAGAAGATGAAGATCAACTGATTGGTACATCTGAAAAGGTATTCATCTTACTTTCTCTCTCACTATTTACATCTCTTCACAAACTATTCCACCATATGAGCGATTTGCACCCTCTGTGCTTTAACAGGGTGATGAAAAGCAGGATGCTCCAGATGAGGTGCTGGGTAATGATAAAGGCATAGAGATGAGCAATGAGTTTGATGGAAAAGAACATAGCATCAGCGAAGATTCCGGAGAAGACAAGGAAGATGGGGAAAGCGAGGATGAACAATTGGACTCTGCGATGGGAGAGGCAGGATCTGATGCTGAAGTAGCTGATGAAAAACTTTGGGACAAGGATGAAGACGTGGAGCCAGAAAACAAGAGTGAGAAGTATGAATTTGGACCAACTGTTGTGGACAAAGACACTAGCTCTAGAGAGTTGAGAGCCAAGGAGGATGATGCTGTCACTACCGATGAGCCTGAGGAATTTAACACTTCTGGCATACATGAAGAAGGAAATGCTGAGAATGACGATCAGGATAATCTTGGTGACACGGAAAACCTGGAAGATAATTGTCAGAGCAAGGAAGAAGCGTTTGCAGACCCAACTGAACTGAACCCTGAGGTGGGCAATGAACAAACTGATGATGCCATGGAGGTTGATGAAAAGGAAGAGGATGCAAAAGAAGATGCAGATCATAATGAAGAAACTTGTCCAGAAGATCAAAATGAACCTGAAGAGGTTGAGAATGGTCACGAAATTCCAGAGACTGCTGATGAATCTATGGAGGCAGGGGGTGAGGATGTGCCTGGATCTCCTCAAAAAGATTGTTGTGGTGATGATCTTGAGCAGAATGCAGGAATGGAGCCGACAGAAGAGAAGGAAGATGTAATCGAACATAAGAATCCAAATTCGGGTGGCGATAACATGCCTGATGTGGAATCTGGATCACAAACTCTTCTTGGAGACCATTCATCAGGGGCAGGAAGTACAGCACCCCAGGAAAACTGGTCTAATAATAATGCAACCGATAATCTTGCAGCTTCATTAGATTTGCCTTCTGGTACTAACCTTGAGGGGAACCTCATGGTGTCCAACACATTGAATGGTGAAACATTGACAGATAATGCCCTAAAGATGGAATTGCCTCAGAACCAAACATATTCTTCTCAACAAACCAAACTGAACCCTTACAGGCATGTTGGTGATGCATTAAAGGAGTGGAAAGAAAGAATTAGAGTTTCCACAGACCTTAATGGAGAAAGACAAGAGGGTGAGGGTGAGATTGAGGATTCAGGTTCTGGTGAGTATGGATATACTTCTCAGTTTGATGAAGGAACTTCACAAGCTCTGGGACCTGCAATGTCTGAGCAGGTGAACACACACATAAGAGACATGGAACCTGAGGGAGAAAGAGTTGAAGGGCATCAGAATGAAGTGGTCAAGATGGATATAGATGCAGTGAACCCCCCAAACCAACCCGCCGCCGTCCACTCTAACTCAGTGATGAGGAATAATAACAACCCTGAACAAATCCAGGCACCAGATACTGACATGAAAAATCAAGAGGACTTCCCTGTTAATGACGTCAATGATGGCCATGGCGGAATGGACTCTATGGTTTCTATTGACAGATCCTTTGTTGGGGAAGATGTGTACAACCCACTCAGAGCTCTGGTGACTGATCAGGATACGGGAAAAGTCCACGATACTGAAGAAGATCCTGATGCCAAAAGTAATGCAATGATTAGATGGAGCAGATGTGAGTTGCTTACTGCGAAATCATCTCAGGAGCTGGCTGAGCAGCTGCGTCTTATCTTGGAACCCACGCTTGCAAGCAAGCTCCATGGTGATTACAGAACTGGCAAAAGAATAAACATGAAAAAGGTTATTCCATACATAGCAAGTCAGTATCGGAAAGACAAAATCTGGTTGAGGAGGACAAAACCTAGCAAGCGTGAGTACCAGGTTGTCATTGCTGTTGATGATTCACAAAGCATGTCGGAAAATGGTTGTGGTGAATTTGCGATTAGAGCCCTCATGACCGTTTGTCGTGCAATGTCTCAACTCGAAATGGGAAGTCTGGCAGTTGCAAGCTTTGGGAAGGAAGGAAACATGAGGACATTACATGATTTTGGTCAGTCTTTCAGCCGAGAGGCTGGGATTAAGGTCAGTGCTCTCAATTCTGCATCTTTTAGTGTACATATGTATAAACATATGGTATTCAATGTGTCCGGACTGTAGCTTTCTTGTTTCTTTCTCTGCTCCTTTGTTCTTACAATGAAATTTACGCCGAGACTTCCTGTTTCTGCTTTCTGTGGTGCAGATGATCTCGGGTTTGACGTTTAAACAAGAGAATCTCATCAAAGATGAACCCGTGGTCAACCTGTTGTCTCATTTGAATGAAATGCTCGATTCTTCAGCAACCAAGACACGATTTTCCTCGGGTAGCAACCTGCTGCAACAACTTGTACTGATCATTGGTGACGGAAAATTCCACGAGAAAGAGAAACTGAAACGCAGTGTAAGGAATTTCCTTAGCAAGAAACGGATGGTAGTATTTCTGCTTCTCGACAACGCGGAAGAATCAGTTATTGATTTAAAGGTTTGTCTTTGAGCGCTCACAAGGCACATCTCTTAGATTTTTCTCCTCCATATGGGTTGTAGCTAGAGATAAGAACATCAAACACTTTAATGCTGGTTTTTGTTTTTTTGGCAGGAGTGTGTTGTGCAGAAAGATGGGAGTATAAAATTCTTTAGATACTTAGATTCATTCCCATTCCCTTACTACATTGTACTGAGAGACATTGAAGCATTGCCCACCACACTTGCTGATCTG